GGGCAATTCAATCCCCTGCATTTGACCCATCCTGATGTCACGAAGGCTTACGTCAGGAGCAGTGGTCGCCGTAGTGCAGCAGAGAAATACTGTATATCTTTATGTGTGAATAGATAAATCCATAATACACTCTAGCGCAAAAATATTGAAGTAATAAGTCATTAGCGCTGGTACCACAGGGGTCGATCCTGGGACCTCTTCTGTTCAATCTCTACATGCTGCCGTTAGGTCAGTTAATACGCAGAAACAAAGTGTCCTATCACAACTATGCAGACGACACTCAGATCTATGTCTCACTGACTGCAGGAGAACATGGACCAGTGGACTCACTCCTTCACTGTATCCAACAGATCAGTGAGTGGATGCAAAACAACTTCCTTCAGCTAAACGCAGACAAAACTGAAATGATTGTCTTTGGTCCCCAGAAACAAAGAGAGAGCGTCATCTGTCACCTACAGTCTCTCTCCCTAAAACCTTCAAACAAGGTCAGAAATCTAGGGGTAATACTGGACTCAGACTTAAATTTTAATAGCCACATCAAATCAGTAACATCAGCAGCTTTTTACCATCTAAAAAACATTGCCAGGATCAAAAACATAGTGTCTAAAGCAGACCTGGAGATTCTTATCCATGCATTTGTCTCCAGTAGGTTAGACTACTGCAATGGCCTGCTCACAGGTCTGTCCAAACAGGCTGTAAAACAGCTGCAGTACATTCAAAATGCAGCAGCTCGAGTCCTGACTAGAACCAGGAAGTACGACCACATTAGTCCAGTTCTCAGGTCTCTGCACTGGCTTCCTGTGGCTCAGAGAATAGACTTTAAAACAGCTCTGCTTGTGTACAAGTCTCTCCATAGCCTCGCACCAAAATATATTAGTGACATGTTAGTCCCATATGAACCAGCCCGGACTCTGAGGAGCACAGGGACTGGACTCCTGTTAGTGCCCAGAGTCAGAACTAAACATGGGGAGGCTGCTTTTCATATTCATGCTGCTAAAATCTGGAACAGTCTTCCTGAAGATGTGAGACAGGCCTCCTCTCTGACAATGTTTAATACCAGATTAAAGACAGTTCTGTTTAGCTGTGCATACAACTGAGGGATTTTATATTTTTATCTTTCTTTTTAATGTTCTGTGATTATTTATGATTTTAATGCTTTCTTATTTTGTTCAGCACTTTGAATTGCCTTGTGTATGAATTGTGCTATACAAATAAACTTGCCTTGCCTTGCCTAAACATACATTTGTATAACTATGTATCTTGTTTTAGAGTGTGTTGTTCTCTAAGATGTGCAACTTTGAGGACTTTACTGTGGACATTTGCAGCATCACTTAACAACTCAGCTGCAATATTAAAAACATGAGACGATAATTAGTCTTTCAACAATTCAAACCTATTACTTACTTGCTAATTGCAACTATTCTGCTTATGATGATTATAACCAATGATTAACTTTCAGCTGGTGCCAAATAGCTACTGTAGATCAGTAATTCATGTCCATTAGCTGCAGACGGTTGCCGGCGGTGACGTAAAGGCCTTGCATAACGGCCTGTAAAGTAACCAAGCCCGACAGGCGCACGGCCGCACAGATCACTTAACACAGGCTTTTGTTGTTAGCCTCCGACATTAGGGAAAGACCGAGAGCTGCCGCGCTGTTGTGTGTCTTTGTCTGAGGGGAAAATGTGCAGTTGTGATGCAGCAAGGATACGTGATAGGAGCAGTGTGTACCCTGGAGGAGCAGGGGCCATCTTACCACATGTCTGACTGACTGATCTCTCTTGACTTGATCTGGTGAAGGCTCATGAAGGGAGAGGGGATTGATCAAAACATATGGGTTCATAATCCAACACAAGAACTCCCAGAGCAGTCAATGTGATGGCTTTTAGTTTTATACTATACTATACTATACTATGTACATATTTGGTATTCAGAACTTTGTAACTTTTGCTGTTTCTATATGTAGTTTATTTCTAATTTATTTTTATGAAATTATTTTTTATTTTTGAAACGTGAGCAGTTTCCAGATCCATAACAATACACTGTTTATTTGCCAGCAGTTAGCATTTGGTAGCCTTTCAACAAACTGGTTTTGCTTTTCAAGTCATATTTACCAGTTTTAGCTCTTAGTAAAAATGATTCATGGGGAAAAAAATAAATAGATATATAAACCTTGGAATTCCATTGGTTTGAATGGGAGCAGTCAAAATGACGGCTCTGGGAGTTCTAGTAATTTCATAATTCTGGGAGTCCTAGTGTTAAATTCAACCCATAGATAGACGCATCAAATATATGTTTTCCTTTAACGCTTTAACTTCTAACTTCTTTGTAAGTTTCTTGTTCTCAAAACAGTTTGTTTCCATGTGTGATGTGATGACGTGTTTTTGGCCTCTGTCCTTTCTTTAGATCAGATTTTTCAGATAGAAAATGTATAAAAAGAATTCCATTCTCACTCAAACAGTCAGCCCTCAGCCTCAAGTGTCAAATGGTGACTCACAGGGGTCTTTCTAAAACATTTGAAAAAGATTACATGTTTTCTCATCATCATGTTGTCTGATTTGTTCACATTTTACTTTTACAGGACACTTATTTTATAACGACCGACATGTATTATTTAATAAATAAAAATAAATACATTCTATATCATACAGGGGTAACATGATGTTTCTCTGCTTAATTCAAGCTCATACCCAACTATTACGTTATTGCTAAGGAAAACTTTTCATTTAAATATGTGGCTCATTCCTTACATGGTTGTTTTTCTGTTGGTCCATTGAAGTTCCACTTGTTGTTATCCAGGGCAGCACATGCAGCTGAGTCCTGCTAAGCCTCTGCTGATGTAAAGCTTGTTTGTTGTCGTGAGCACGTTCCACTTTTGCTTTCAAGCTAAACTCCTGCCTCTGACTCTGATGTATTTGTATTTGTATTTATTTTGATCTCCATTAGCTGTTCAACACAACTATTCTTCCTTGAGTCAAGCAAGGTGCATTAACAAAAACACATGACAATTACACTAAAATAAAACAAAAACGATACAAATGCCGACAAAAGGTCACACTCACACACGCACACACACACACAAGACCCAAGACCCAATTTCAATTGTGTGATAAAATAGTCTAAAGGTGGTGGTGACTGCTTCTATGTTCACTCCTCCGTGATTCCGTATATTTTCTCAGGCAGATGTGGCCTAATTACATGGTTAAAAGTAAAGACAGACTCTAGTGAATTGTGTTCAGCAATTAGGGAAGGTCAGGATGATGATGATGAAAATGGAAATGGGATCTCATTTGTGTGATGATTTGCTACACGGCGAAAAGTGATGAGAAATAAATAAAAATGTGCTTAAATTTGGCAAAATGTTTCTTAATTTGAGCACATTCTGACCGTCTTAAAACAATGGGACAAGCAAAATTATCTTGTTTTAAAGTATTGTAGAAATGTCTTGGAATGAGAAAATAAACCAACAGTTCATAAATAAAAAGACTAAATCAAGTTTTAAGCCATTATTACCGCACAGTTTATCATTTTTTGTAGTGAATTTAGCTGGTTTTATCATAGTGAGATTTAATATTTCTATGGCTAATGATGTATCTACATTATACAAATACATGTTCAATTCTGAGTGGCCGGTATATTTTTCATTCACAAAGAGAGTTCAAGGACTTGGGAAGTGTATGTGAATCGTGATACAGTATATTGTGTACTGCATATTGACCACTCCTTTAACTCATTGTCTGCGGTTGTGTGCCATTGACATTTTAAAACGTCAAATGCGTTTTTCACTATTTTCATGTTCCCAGATATCTATTATATCTAATATGTATGGGGATTAGCTTTAGAGCATATTTTATCGAGCCAGCAGGTGGCACCAGCGCTGCCTCTGTATGTTTTGAAAACAGGATGCACTTGTTGCGCCTCTTTTTCTCAGCTTTTTGTCTGAGACTGATGATTTCAGTAAAACTTGTTTCTACGCGACTGGGGATTACAGGGGAATGAAACAAGCTTGAAAAAAAACTCTTTTTTTCTGGTGAAAGTAGACAGTCTATACTTTCAGAATCTGGTTTTGGATTTCAGATAGTCATAGTACACAATATCTTGTGGGTCTTGAAAAATCAATACAAATCATCAGAAATTGCTGGCAATGGGCAATGGGCTGGCAGGCAATGAGTTAATGTAGAGAATGGGCCAATAGCATTGACAGAAGGCCAAAATAATAATGTTTAACTTTATTGTATGCCATGTAGATAATAAATAATCGCTATTACTGAATTAAACAGAAATGGCAACAATGTGAAACCACGTCTGGCCCTCCACCACATGCTGATATCATGGCCCCCTGATGTGGCCCTAACAGAATAAGTGCATATATTTGTTCCATATGCAATGTACTGTATTTGTGTGTTGCAATAAATATTTCATGTTGTTTGATACACTACTATCCATCCATCAATTTATTTTCCATTTGAAGCCAGCAGCAGTCTGTGCAGAGACGCTCAGACTTCCGGACTGCTAGACTTGTGTGTGTGTGTGTCAACAAGATGCTTTTTTCCAACAGAATAATCATTTAGAAATTCAATTGAATGAATAAACAACCAGTCATAGGCTTTGCTTTTGTCTTGAAGAAATCCGATATGCCTTCTGGGCTGCTTTAAATTCCAATTAGCAATTTTGAGACCGCAATATTCCATAATTTCCTTTACAAACTACAACTTATCGTGTTGCATTTTATAAAGATCTGGATATTCTTGTGTTTAGAGCTCTGAAACAGGTTTAGAAATACACAAAAAAGGCTTTAAGAAGGTCGCTGTGAGAATTTGCATGTCATTTGATTTCAGCCTTGAATTGAATTTACTTTTAAACTCTGTTCCAATAATTCACATTGCAAGATTTTATTTCATATTTTTAAATGTTTAAGCTATTTTTTGTTATTTCCTATCAGTTAAACTAACCTCTTCTCATTGCACTTGTGTATTCATCTTCCTGTTTGTTGTCTTTTGCAGCACTGCCAGTAACTCCAACAAGAGCACCCCCGCCTGCTCACCGGTTCTACGGAAGCGCTGCCACTCCCCGACCCTCCAGAGCCCGGACGGGGACAACATGGTGGAGAAGGGCTCGGACCACTCCTCCGACAAGTCGCCCTCCACCCCAGAGCAGCTGGTGCAGAGAACGTACTCCCTGCAGTCGTCCCGCAGCGGGGGAAAGAACTCCAAGGTGGGCCTCAGCAACAGTGTGCAGCTCAGACCAGTAGTCTATGACGCTGGTTTACAGACGCTGAATGTGGAATAAATCAGTGGTTTTCAACTGGTACAGCTTCAGGATCCACCATCAACATATCCTGGACTCCTCACCATGATCCATGATCCGATGAGCTTTAAGTGTTTAACATTGATCCTGGACTTTTGATTAATTGGTGATTTCAGATCAAAGTGAACACACTCTATAAACAATGCAACATTTTCACAAATTGATTTAAAAAGCTTTGACAAAAACTACTACTGTAAAATTATGAAAAAAATAACTCCACTGGATAATCTTGAAACATTTAGATGTGTTGTTGAGTTAAACTCTTTTTAACTCAACAACATTGAGTAAGTTTTTTTTTTACTCAAACAGATTTGTATTGTTTCTTGATTGTATTTAATCAGCAAAGTCCCAGTGAGATTAAGAACCTCTTTTTCAAAAGAGTCCTTGAAAAATATTAAACCAATGTCTATTATTGCTTTCTAGAAAAACTTCAAATCTGTCAAAAATGTTTTACTTCTTTCCAGATTTGTTAAAAATGTTGCCCATGCAGGAAATGCTTCCACCAGCTGAGAACCACTGAAATAAATGGCATTTCTTCACAACAAAAACATTCTTTCTCCCACAAATACACAAGTCTGATGTTCACAGAAATAACACAGGTTTATGCTTGTCGTAATATCAAAGGGACAATTGTAAGATTTTGCTAATATGCACATTTCCCATATTGGAGAACGCTTTGTGACCCTGATCCGCGAACAGCAGTTTTAAATAAAGTTTGCTTACATACAATTGTGAATTTCTACATGTTTTTAGGCATAGATTTTTCTTGCATCAAATGTTGACAAATAAATGCAGGACTAATTGTACTTTGTTACAAGCTCACCGTGTTGCGTACTCCTTCTTTGTGGTTCATAGATTTTGATTTCCTTTTACTGTTGTGTGTTCTTTGTCTGCTTAGCGCTCATTCGTTCTTTTAAAATAGTTTCAGCTAACTCCTTTTCTTTAAGTTTTTTTTCTTAAATTCTGTTCTGATCTCATGTACAGTTTTGTTCTTGGGTTTTCCCGCTACACTACATGTGCATTGTAAAACACATTGCTTTATCACAATGTGTTTATTGTGTCTGTTGATTCTTGGCTTTTTGTTCTGTTGTCTTCTGATTTTTCTCTGTTCTTCTCCTCATCGCATGCTAGTCTCACAAGCGACTTTCCAAAGTAAGCATCACTTTTTCTGTTTTTCACATGTTACTGCCACTTATCCACTGTCTGCCTGTATTTGCTTATGCTGCAATTCTCAATGGCAACGCATTACCTTCAGCCCACTACACTGGACCGCTTGGGACCGCTTGGGACCGTTGTCTTCTATTTCACATGATGTAGTAGTTCTTTAATGACAACAAATTCCAACTTTTATACATTTAATACTACTACTATGAGTTTAAAGTGGATGTACCCAACCTTCAAGAAACTACAATTAAAATATAGTAAAATCTATCTAGTTACTTTCTCTAAAACAGTTTGATTCTATCACTTTTATACTATGTGAAGCGCTTTGTGACCCTGGTCTGTGAAGGGCGCTATATAAATAAAGTTTACTTACTTACTAGCTTTCACATTCATGTATTGTTGGCCTCTCACGTCTTTAGATCAGCTTTCTCAGTCTGAAACGCAAAAAATAGAGGACCATCCTCACTCGGCCAATCAGCTCTCAGCTCTTTCTTACAATTATGCAATAGATTACATGTTTTCATGATGCTAACACAGCATGTTGTGGTCCAATTTTGTTCACAACATGTTACTTTCCTCTAGACTCTTTCTGTTGGAACAAACAAAATGTATTATGTATGGGGGGGTTAAGTTCCCCTGCTTTAACAATATATGTAGAACTCACTATTGGACTTTGGAAAAGGTTTGTTAAAAATAATATGAACAGAAACTAAATAGAAAATGCTGCTGTAGTATAATATGTTTCAAAAGATTAGTCTGCAAAAATCCCACTTACACAGAACTTACACTGTGAGCAGGTATTCCACTTAACACAGGGATGCTAATCACTACAAGAAGTTACTTTACAATTTAGAGAGCTGTTACAGGTCAGGTGGAACTCGGAAAGTTAGAATTGTTCAAAAGTCATTCACTTCTGTAATTCAACTTAATATGTGAAACTAATAATATATCCATTACACAGCTTGTTAAAACCCCAAACATTTTATAAACATAATCAAATGATCAATCATATTGGTTTCACATTTTGAGCTGAATTACAGAAATGAGCACACTTCTAATAATAATATGTTCACGTTTCACCTATATTATTACTGTATTTTTTTATGATTATGGTTATGATCACAAATCCCATCACCTTGTATTGAATGCCGGGTGAAAATCCAGGCATTACAACCTCTTATCGACCACACACGTGAGCTTATGAGGTCACATGAGTGAATGGCGTGAGCTCGATCACCCTGCTGCTAATGCAATCCAAATAATAGAGCATTGAGTAACGGAGCGCCCCACATCTCAGAAACCAGGGCACGGTCTTATGACATAAAAATAACTCTATCTGATTAGGGCTGCGTCAGGCTTTCTGCAGATAAGTCTTATGCTGTGTTTCTCTCCACTTTTTCAGTATGACAGACTAAACTTAATCAAAGTAAGCACTTGTTTTGTTTTGACAACCCTTGTCAGCCCTCAGCAGAGTACAACCGATAGTGCCGTATTCCCTCACTAGAAAGATTCCAGTAGTGTCTGCCCCTTTTCTATCCTTTTAGAGTAGCATTGTCTTATCCAGTAACATTACACACACACACACACACACCATTTGATGCCTGCACTGACAGAACCCCCTATCTGGTTGCATGATTTAACAGTGAATTTTACAAAATAATTGAAGGTGTAAAAAAAAATCAGATGAGGTCTGATGTAATGTTGTTTGGACATTTTATTTAAAAACATACATGTATTAGATTCAACGTTCTATTTTCTTTATTTTATAGCTGTTTAACATAAATTATTCTGTGTTTCCCCTTTTACAGAAGAGCCAAAGCTGGTATAACGTAAGTAACCTACTATATTCTACACATTATTAACAGTTGTATTATTATGCTTTTTGCTGTTGGTCTGAATGAGTGTGCGTGAGTTAAATAAGTCTGCTTACAAGACCAACGAGCAGTGATTAACGCCAGATAACGACCGTGTGTGTGGAGAAGGAGCCGTTTCCAAGAGCCTTACTGTACGTGTCTTATTCATGCAGTTCTCTCCAATGACACAAGAGGGAGCCCTAACCTCATTTGTTTGTGCAGTGCTGATTTATTACAGACTAAGAATAGTACAGCGGTCTCTGGTCCTTGTTTTGATTTTTATTGTTGTGTCTATCCTCTTCCCATGTCTCCCCAGCATGAAAGGCAGCACATCTTGAGAGTAAGCATGACCCCCTCTCCTATGTGCCATTCTGTTGACTTACTAAACTTCTTCTCTTAATAGTAATATGAGGATAAGTGTAACTATCCATGCAGCATTCCATTGACTCCTCTGAGTGTTGTTTCCACCTTAAGTAACACGCTGCTCACCCAACGCACTGATTTTAGTAGAATATTAATATCAGAAAAGACGAAGGAATGTATTTGTTGTATCTCTTGCATTGTCACTCTGATGCGTGTCATGTCCAGGCTGCTAAATTGGGTTTGAACAGGTGCTAGCATGTGCTTTGACTTTCTCACTGTACTAAACAAATCAGGAGAATATGACAAGAGCCTTGGCTTGAGTGCCTCTAAACAGCAGTTGAATGGAGCATGCTTTGGGTGCTTTCTTTTCTATTGTGTTTATGCTCAATGTCAATATAAGATGAGATATTCTTTTTATAATCTGCTGAATGCATCCCTATATTAATATAAATATGCTACATAGATGTAAGCACAATAAGCATGCAACAATGTCTCAGAAATGTTATTATATTAGCCTCTCACGGTGCAAAAACATGGGTATACTCCTAAGCAACCTCGTTCTTACACACAGTGCTACACAGGCTGGCGTCTCAATACGACCCGGCGTTTAACCTGCCTAGCAACCTGGTTTGTTTGTTGATGCACACTGATATTTTAGACAGCAATAAAATCTGTTCTATAGCTCATTGATCAATTGTGAGTCAGGTGAAGAAGGTTATAAAACTACACACAGAATTTTGCATTTGCTTCTTTTCCCTTTATAACATTGTCCTTGATATGTTTGAAAACGTTTTTATTGCTCCATGTGGATGATAAACTCGCCAAACTTAAGCATTACATATCTTTGCATGGTTCGCTGCACTGTGGCTTTAGAGAGGACTGAGTTTGAAAGCTGGAAGTTTTTTTTAAATACTGTCTTGTCTTGTCTTACCCGTGGTTAAGAGCTGACACAGGCCCAAACAACACTCCAACCTGTTTATTTCTTTTTTTTTTACTTTATTTACAGAACATTTTACACACAAACCTTTTCTTTTATTCTTTTAAACTTTATTTATTGAACATTTAAACGCTGACCTTTTTCCACAGTCTGAATCCTTCTGTCTGCTCTCTTCTGTGGATGACACACACCATGGTTGAGATGTGTGTGTTTCTCTGGCGATGATTATAATCCATGGCTCTGAAAAGACGTGATGTCAAACAAAAACGTTCCATAAGTTCTGAGCCTATTTGAGACACTCAACTAATTCAAGGTCCATAACAAAACCATATTAAGGCTGTGTTCATCGCAAATTATAGGCTCCATTCAAACAACATCATGTTTAAGATTAAGGCAGTGATGAAGAAGATGAAGAGGTTCCAAATAGCTCTTGACATTACCCGAGTTTAAGACACTAGACGGAATTTAGTCAGATAATTGGTTGTTGAGTTAGTTGTTCTATATTCATTAACAATTTTTCTTTACTCATTGTTTTACGAGATCATTCAGGAGAGGGCCCTGAGCGTGCAAGTTCAATATTTCATAGTGAAATGTTCATTTAATTTCAGTCTGTCCTGAATGAACGGCAACACATAAACGTTTTACCAGTTGTAATGCAATACACTTCAGCAATATTTTATTTATAACAATGTGAGTCGCTATTTGACATTTTGGGTTGAGAGCTGATTTGCTGAGTGGTCATCTCTTTTCCACTTTTCTGTCTGAAAATCATGATCTGAAAATGTATCAGAGTACAGAAAATACATGTATGTGAAAACTATTACGGTACATACTGTAGTTCCATTTCTTTCCCCAGCCCTAAGGTATAGACCTAATATGGACATGCACTGCAAAAAGGGATGAAAAATAAGTCAAAAAATGGCCCCAGTTTGCCAAAATGTATGTTAATTTGAGCACATTTTGACCGCCTTAAAACAAGATTTGCCAACGGGACGAAAAAAGATAAAAAGATACTCAAAATGTTTCTTGGAAGGAGAAATAGCTCAACAGTTCTTGTAGTAAGACGAAACGACTTTTCAAGCACACATCACCTCATATTTAATCGTTTTTGCAGCGTGGTTTAATCATGTACCAGTCTTTAAATTTTGTTTTTATGTGTGACCTAAAAATGAACTTCACTAAGACCAGAACCAGGGCTTATAACCAGACCAAAACCAGGACTAGAATGGGTCTCCAGTGGATGACATCATCCTTCTGCCGGCCAGCTCAGAGCCACACCCTCCCTGTTTAACCAGTTTACAGTACCAGTCCGTGCTATCTCCCACTGTTTGCCCACAGGGTTAATTATTAACCATGCACTGATGCAGCCGCACCTCACCTCATCTGCGACACAATGGTCGCTTTCTTTCCTTATTGATCGCTTAATTATTTTGTCAGAACCCACTGCAGATAAAGGTCCCTTTTTTGAGGCTGCTAAAACTTCCTATTAACTTATTTGTCAGAAATGTCTTCCGCATGATGTTATTGCATGCTTTGGCCTCACTGGATGTCCTGCACTGAACTACCACGAAACAACAAAATTAACTTAAAGCCGTAGTATTTAGCTTTTTTTGTCCCAACCGTAAGCAAGTTACATGCTGTTTAACTAACAGGCTGTGAACAAATCCAACTACAGCAGGCTGGCGTTATCTTAGGCAAGGCAAGTTTATTTGTACAGCACAATTCATACACAAGGCAACTCAAAGTGCTGACAAAAACAAGATGGAGACAGTCACATAAGGTATTAAACATAAATAATCACAGCACATCTAAAAGTGTGAAGATAGATTCACATTAAGAGATTTTTTTATTTGTTCCACAGTGGGGAAATTTCCGTGTTGCATAACAAGTTACAGAACATTAGGAATGAGGAGCACACAGCACAAGATAAATGAATTATAACTCTATACTAAAATAAAATAAAATCTCTAACTAGCATAAAAGGACGCACATATTAAATCTCTATCTTTACCCTAATACATATAAATAAGTATAAAATCCATCAGTTAAATGCATCTTATTGGAAAACATTTGAACTTGTACTTTCTGAGAGCTGATTGGTGAAAAAGCTAATTTAAAAATGTGACAGTGACCAACAAGGCATGCAAGTGAATAGTGATAAAATAGTTTTGAGACCTATAGGAAATAGTTAGGTGTATTGAGTTTCTGTATGGTTTCAAAGTGACACAACCCGACATTAGTAATTTTATAGCAAGGGTCAAATATGTGGCCATATCATTTGTCCGTAAACCAGGACTTGCAGGTATACGTTATAGGACTTGCTACACAAATTAGATACATTTTCTATTGAATAATGCATTGATTGTGTGTCAGTTAAGGCGCAGAGAATTCAACAATGGGATGTTTGTTGTCAGTTTCATGCCTGCAAGCCTCTGAGCCAAGATTGATGTTGTTTTTCTGGCTAAAGGTTACTATAGGTTACGCGGGTCCTTCTAACTTTAGTTGCAAGTGGTGGCGGAGTTACATACTTGACACATAGCAAGCATGCATGTCACCCCAGTATCAAGGCTTTGTCGTGGGCTTCTTTCAAACAGTATTGTATCATTGGCATATGAAGGGTAATCTCTAGCTCTACTGAAACCAGAAGTGGATTTCAAGTTAAAGGGAATAGAAGAGAGATAAGAAAGGACTAGTTGTGGCAGGGTTACTACAGGGCATTAGCTCCTCCGCTGTCAGGGAGAGACATGTGGAGCGAAGGGGGCGGATACAGCAGTCCTCCTCATACCGACGGACTTCTACTCGGGCTCGCAGTCTCTGAAGCGGGAGGGCGAATGCAACAGTTGTGAGATGGACTCCGAGGATAGTTCGTTGTCAGACTGGGAGGCAGTGCTGCAGCTGGACGAGGCGTTGGCCGGGTGGTTTCTGCAGGGTCCGGCGCAGACAGAGTGGGGATGGGAGTGTGGCAGGGCGGCCTATGATGACCGAGACCCCCTGTGGGATAATGAGGAGATACCAGCTGTAAGTTTAGCCACCTGCTTGGATTTGTTTCGGCTCTGGTGGTTGTGGATTTAGAGTGTTGCAGTACTAGAATCCCTTTTTTTTGATAGTTACTTGGATATTATTGGAAATTGCATTGGCCGTAATAATTGTGTATATTTCAGTTATTCTCATTTTCTTTCAACAATGGAAAGATTGACAAGAGCATGAGTTGATGAGTTTTTTCGGGGTTTTTTTATGATCCAATAGAACAAGCTGATTTAGTATAATTTCAAGTGTGATTGCATTTTTTTCTTATTTTAAAAGATAAATCAGTTACTTTTTATATTTTTCCCCATTTGCAAAACTTTTTTTAAGTCTTATATTATATTAAAATAAATATTCCTTACCCTTCCTATCATTATTTTGCAGTGGATTTTTATTTGAGTATTGATTGATCCAAGTTGGTGGCCAAGTTTTCCCTTCTGATCTTGTATTTATTATGTATTTGTTTTTGTTTTTTTTACTACAAAGCCAGGTTTTTTGCATGTAATATTAGCTATTATAACATCTCAGTGTGATGCGATAAACTTGATACTTTACACTGTTTTGTAGAAAGCATCTGACTTGGACAGTAAGAGCAATAAGGATATCTAAGTACTGTCAGAGAATAGACGACAATTCACAATTTGCATATTTAAATTGAAACAGCTTTCCTTAGAATATAATATTTGCATTGCTTTCTGCACTTGCCTGTCCTGCAATAACAAGTCATCCATCACAACCACCAGATCACTAGCAAAAAACGGATACAAGAAAAAAAGCATGTTTGAATGGTTTGCAACTGATTTTTACGGATGCTCACTTGCTTTTTCGCTTGCTGTTCATTTTCCTGGATTGGAAGCCGTGCGCAGTTTTCTAAATTGTGACTATGTTTGACTGCAGGTGCTGAGCCCCACATACAAACAGCGCAATGAAGATTTTAGGAAACTCTTCAAGCAGCTCCCCGACACAGAGAGGCTCATTGTGGGTGAGTAGTGAAAGCACACAGGGGTGCCCCAAATCCGTAACAAATTTTGGATTTAGATGCATGGACTTTATGAATTCAGAGGGAATTTAACTTTGGCTCAATCTCTCCTGATAGCAGGCAGATGCATAGATACAAACGTTTTTGTTTTTTAAGACGCAACTTGTTTTTGTATTTTGATCAATGACAGCTATGGCTCATCATTTCAGCTCAAATTAGCTAAAACTATGTATGTATTCTCAGGCTGCAATTTACAATTATTTTGATAATCGATTTGTTTTGCCAATTAGTTGGTCATGTTCTGAGTGGTAGAAAACGGTAGCACCCAGAAAAAACATACACAAACCTGGAAGGAACATGTAAACACCCGGGAATTGAACCCAGGACCTTTTTGCTACAGTACATCCTTCTTGCTACAGTACACGCGCTAACCATTGTGACACTGCCGAAAATGATTGTGCAAAGCTGTAATCATCTCAGGTTTAGGAAATAAACGTTCAATGGCATGTGGGAAATATGGAAATTATCTAATTACTCAAACATGCATCATGGCTTTAAAATGCAAGCAAAAATGTGTTTCTAGAATCAAGTCCAGTTAACAGAAAAGATATATTCTAGTGTTGTCTTAATGCTCTTTTGACAATTTATTTCAGATTACTCCTGTGCGCTGCAGCGGGACATCCTACTACAGGGTCGACTCTACCTCTCAGAAAACTGGATCTGCTTTTATAGTAACATATTTCGATGGGAGACACTGGTAAGGACAAAGGTTTCATATTATCCCAATCAATTGTATCGACCGCATTGTTTTCTGTACGTATTTCTGATGTACGTCTGTGTAGTTGACAGTGCGGCTAAAAGACATTTGCTCAATGACGAAGGAGAAGACAGCACGCCTCATTCCTAATGCCATTCAGGTCTGCACGGACTCTGAGAAGGTAAGCGTTATCAGAGAGTAGATTTGTGTTTTATTGTATTAGTGACATAATACCACATAGTTGTGAGAAGAAAGCGAGTTCAGCAAGTTTAGAAATACAACCGAACCTCCATGAATAATAATTTGACTAATAAAAAATACGTGACAAGAAACTGCCTGAGAATAGAATGAAATATATGTGTTATTTTTTTCTGAAATTGTCGGTAATCTTTTGGATGTTTATTAAAAAATGCATTATTACATTGATTTCTTTTTTTCAGCACTTTTTTACATCTTTTGGAGCCAGGGACAGGACGTACATGATGATGTTTAGATTGTGGCAGAATGCTTTGCTAGAAAAGGTGAGTTTACTTTTTGTTACCTTGGATGGATTACTCTGCAATATTATTCCTTTAAACATACAGTGCCTTGCGAAAGTATTCGGCCCCCTTGAACCTTTCAACATTTTGCCACATTTCAGCCTTCAAACATAAAGATATCAAATTTTTATTTTTTGTCATGAATCAACAACAAGTGGGACACAATCGTGAAGTGGAACGAAATTTATTGGATAATTTAAACTTTAAAAAAAAATAAAAAACTGAAAAGTGGGGCGTGCAATATTATTCGGCCCCTTTACTTTCAGTGCAGCAAACTCAGTCCAGAAGTTCAGTGAGGATCTTTGAATGATCCAATGTTGTCCTAAATGACTGATGATGATAAATAGAATGTACCTGTGTGTAATCAAGTCTCCGTATAAATGCACCTGCTCTTTGATAGTCTCAGGGTTCTGTTTAAAGCGCAGAGAAAACCATGAAGACAAAGGAACACACCAGGCAGGTCCGAGATACTGTTGTGGAGAAGTTTAAAGCCGGATTTGGATACAAAAAGATTTCCCAAGCTTTAAACATCTCAAGGAGCACTGTGCAAGCAATTATATTGAAATGGAAGGAGTATCAGACCACTGCAAATCTACCAAGACCCGGCCGTCCCTCCAAACTTTCATCTCAAACAAGGAGAAGACTGATCCGAGATGCAGTCAAGAGGCCCATGATCACTCTGGATGAACTGCAGATAACTACAGCTGAGGTGGGAGAGTCTGTCCATAGGACAACAATCAGTCGTCCACTGCACAAATCTGGCCTTTATGGAAGAGTGGCCATTTCTCAAAGATATCCAATAAAAGTATCTTAAAGTTTGCCACAAGCCACCTGGGAGACACACCAAACATGTGGAAGAAGGTGCTCTGGTCAGATGAAACCAAAATCAAACATTTTGGCCACAATGCAAAACAATGTTTGGCGTAAAAGCAACACAGCTCATCACCCTGAACACACCATCCCCACCTCAGCTGTAGTTATCTGCAGTTCATCCAGAGTGATCATGGGCCTCTTGGCTGCATCTCTGATCAGTCTTCTCCTTGTTTGAGATGAAAGTTTGGAGGGACGGCCGGGTCTTGGTAGATTTGCAGTGGTCTAATACTCCTTCCATTTCATTATAATTGCTTGCACAGTGCTCCTTGAGATGTTTAAAGCTTGGGAAATCTTTTTGTATCCAAATCCGGCTTTAAACTTCTCCACAACAGTATCTCGGATCTGCCTGGTGTGTTCCTTTGTCTTCATGGTTCTCTCTGCGCTTTAAACAGAACCCTGAGACTATCAAAGAGCAGGTGCATTTATACGGAGACTTGATTACACACAGGTGCATTCTATTTATCATCATCAGTCATTTAGGACAACATTGGATCATTCAAAGATCCTCACTGAACTTCTGGAGTGAGTTTGTTGCACTGAAAGTAAAGGGGCCGAATAATATTGCACGCCCCACTTTTCAGTTTTTTATTTGTTAAAAAAGTTTAAATTATCCAACAAATTTCATTCCACTTCACGATTGTGTCCCACTTGTTGTTGATTCATGACAAAAAAATAAAATTTTAAATCTTTATGTTTGAAGCCTGAAATATGGCGAAATGTTGAAAGGTTCAAGGGGGCCGAATACTTTCGCAAGGCACTGTACATGAGAATATATGTGTTTTTTTTTTTAGCCCCTGTGTCCTAAAGAGCTGTGGCATTTCGTCCACCAGTGCTATGGCAACGAACTGGGTCTGACAAGTGACGACGAGGATTATGTTCCACCAGACGATGACTTCAACACGATGGGGTTGGTTTGGCTTTTCATATTTGCATTAAACCTGGGGTAATCTTGAAAAAGTATAATATTGTGAAAAATTCAGATCTCAAAATGCTGTGACTGTCTTATCTTATTAGAAAACATATTATATTTAGTGATACAGATCCTTTTTCGTCCTCTCGTTTTTACTTTTCTGTCTGAAAAAACTGATTTAAAGATGTGACAGAAGCCAAAATACATGCATGTGAAAACTAGTGATAGAACCAAACTGTTTTAGAACCAAGAACTATATAGTTAAATATTTAGGTAGAGATTTTATACTTCTTTATTATGCTAAAGTCAGAGTTTTGTACACATTATGCTATAGATAGAGATTTTATTTTTGAGAATTATTGTTCATTTGTCTTGTGATGTGTGCTCCTCACTCCTACTGTTCTGTAACGGGTGATGCAACACTGAACTTTCCCCACTGTGAAACAAATAAAGAATCCCTCAAGATGGATTTCTAGTACATAGTTATTTTTTTTCTTTGTGGTTTGGAAGTTATGTACCCCAGCTTTCTTTTGCATTCGTTTCGATAACTAACAAACTGTGTGCGTAGGTTCAGCGAAGAAATCCCCAACGAGGAGAACGAAATAAACAACGACAACTTATCCAAAAACAACGTTGAATCCAAGCCTGAAGGAAGCCCGCCTCTGCTACATCATAAAAAGGTCGTTTCTATCAATTCCATCAGTCCAGGAAACCATGACACTCCGATCTCTGTAAGCAACGACCTGTAGTTCATGTGGATTTTACACATGTGCAACCGTATAATATGTCCCCTTTTCCTTCGTCAGTTTGAGCTCCCGGCAGAGGAGTTCACGGACTGCCTGACAGACGGAGATCTTCTTGCTTTGCCTCTGGTGGTGGAGGACAATAACCAGCCTGAGCCCGGTGCCCCCGTCCCGTCGCCCTCTCTGGACTTCAACGACAACGAAGACCTCCCCACGGAGCTGAGCGACTCCTCCGAAACACACGACGAAGGCAAGACCCAGTGCTCAGACTGTTGAAAGATAGTCTCACTTTTTGCAACTAATTCTGAGGGACGGTTTTGAAGTGAAGTACAGTTACCTTTTTAATTGTGAAGTGAGAGATTTTTTTTCTAATTCAAGCACCGGTTAGACCCGCCCCACTGCTTCCTGATCGGACAGATTAAATTGAAATCCTTGATACACAGACTGACTTTTTTGGTTTTGCCAAGGGGACCGACTGTAATAAATATATTGTTTTTGGAAAAGATGTACTTTACGGGATACTACTTGGTCATATGGTAAAAATAGATATTCTTTTTAAAATGAATTACAATTGAAATGGATAATCTTTAGCCGATTAGCTGTTAAAGATACAGCCGCCATTTTACTATTTTACCATTTGACTATTTTACCATTTGACTATCTTTTTGTTGATGCAAAAAGAATTTGCATCAACAAAAACAAAAAGTCCTCACTATCACAGTCTTTATTACCGGTACGTTACAGTCACACTCTGTACTCTCTCAACTTTATTTGTAATTGTTATACTATGTTAATAGTTACAATATGGTATAATAGTTCAAAACAGATACTTTGAAAAATAAAATACACTGTGGTATTTGATCATGCAATAGTAAGATATTAAATAAATAAAATAGAAATATGAAAACTATACTTTTAGAAAATCAATGATGTATTTATACAGCAGTACTCTGATTAGACATACTGTATTTTTTTGTTGTTTTTTTTTAATAGCAACTTCATAAAACAAAGATGAAGATATGAAGTACATAAAACAAGCAACCAACAACTAAGTCCATCTGAAAAGGAGTGGGCGATTTTAAAGTGATATAAGCCATGGTGTATTCCTTGTCTTGCACTGAAGAAACGTAAAACATTTTCAGGCAATTGCTTATTTTTTACGTTGTACATTCATTGTTCAAATGAAAAATGATTATGTCATTTTCGATTGAATAGATAAAGGATTGGTGTGGTCAAGATAACCAGCGTTATTGATTGTTACCTTTTTTTTTGCAGAATCACTAGTGGTTGTAAAGTAGTTTTATAATTATTACCCCAGATTTCTGCACAGTAGGTTAAGTAAGGTGAAACCAGAGAACAGTAGAGTGTGTGTAGTGCATTAAAATCCAACACTGGTTTAACCTTACCTAACACTGCTATACTTTGATACTTTTCGCTGTATATATTGAATGTGAGCTATCCAATTGACACCGAGAAATGTATTCTCCTTGACCTTGTTCGATGTTTTCTACTTTGAAATTCCCAAATAACATTAACTTAGTTTTGGTCAGACTCAGAGATAATTTATTAATATGGAACCAGGAAATTAACTTCATGAATTCAATTTTCAAGTCTGCCATTATTTTTGCAAATTGTCTCCTGAACAGAACAAATTTGTGTCATCTGCAAATAAAACAGCTTTAAACAAATCAGAAACTTCACACAGATCATTAACATTTAAAATAAACCATTTTGGGCCAAGCACAGAACCCTGGGGGAGGCCACAGACGATGTCCAAATACGAAGAGTTGTATTCTCCTAGTTGAACAAACTGTTTCCGGATTTCTAAGTAGCTCTTGAGCCAAGTCAGTGCTACCCCCTGTACAGTACCCATACAACTCCATCTTTTTAAATCATATGTCATGAGCTATTGTGTCAAATGCTTTCTTTAAAACTATGAATATCCCTGCTACTATTCTCTTTTGCTCAGTTTAAGAATCAGAATCCATACTTGTTGTTATTGTATTTTATCCAGGGCCAGATTGGGGAGAATAAATAATGTTGTATTCCATGACTCATACCTTTTCACTTACAGCTGGGGTCCATCATACTCAAACCACGTCACTAGAACTACATAATACAATGGAACTTTAAATGTCTCCATTGTGAGATCCAAAAGTTTGATGAAGTTTATCTTAACTTAATAAAATCCATGTTACTACTTCCTGACTCTAAAACAGTTTAGTCCTATAGTTTTCACATTCATGCATTTTTGGCATTGATCACATCTTTAGATCAACTTTTTCACACACAAAAAATTAAAAAACAAGAAGCTCTCTCAGTTAATCAGCTCTCAGCCCAAAGAGTCAAATAGTTACTCACAAGGCTCTTTCTTATAAATATGCAATAGATGAAGACATTATGTTGTGGACTGATATATTCACCGTTTTATTATAACATTGTTCCTGCTTCCAGTGTTTTATTTTTATTGTACCTTTTTTGCAGGTGAAGTCCAAGCTTTCCATGAAGATCTAAACGGCCGACAGCACATCAACGAGGTCTACAAGTTTAGTGTAGACAAACTGTACGACCTGCTCTTCACCGAGTCACAGTTCATGAGCGACTTCATGGAGCAGCGGCGGTTCTCTGGTTAGTGATGGAATACAGTTTTAAAAGTATCAATGAAAAAATACATAATAAATAGATAAAATAGGTTTGTGTGGTTCTAGTTGATAACAAGTGTGATTTCCTGAATTGTTTAGAAATAGTGTTTCATCCCTGGAGGAAGGAGGAGAACGGAAACCAGACCAGAGAAATCTTGTACACGATATCGTTGTCCAACCCACTGGCTCCAAAAACAGCGACAGTCACAGAGACACAGGTAAACAACATGCTACGAGCTTTTATAAAGTTATACAGGTTTTAACGCGCTATTGGTTCACTAAAGATTGTAATTCAATTGGAGCTCAAAGTTGCAGACAATGAGCACAAAGATTTGTCTTTTAAATTTCCCCTAAACATGAGAAGGATAACACAAATGTAGTTTCACTCATTGTATAGGTTGTGTGTAGCCATTTGTTGTGAAATAAACATGGGTTCTATTTTCAAATTATACTGACAACAAAAATAACGCTACCGTAATTAGAATGTTTCTATCCCCAGTTCTCAGTAGAATGTATATCCTCTGTAACATCTATGGCAGTTTATGGTAGTTGGGTGTTGAGGTTGTTTCTCCTCTCTGATGATAAAGCTGCCCATTCTTAGCAAAAAGCCTCCCCTTCCTGTAAATTCCTGGGTCGCTTTGCATGAGCTGCACGTTCAAAGCTCCCCAGATTGGTTCAATGACATCATCATTTCACACATGATTCAGAACGCATGATTTCAAAATTCAAAACATATTCATATTCATAACATAACACATACTTTTAAAGTTTCAAGCACAACTGTAGGACAAACACGCCTGCCCGGTCACCTTCTGAGTTAAACATCAAATTCAAACATAATATATTGGCATCATAGGCATGACTTATCCAGTAACTTATCCAGTTTTAATAGGCCTGTTTCTATCACTACCCCATTTTAGACCATTACTATGTTTTACAATCGGCGCACATAGGATTAAGTACAAAAAGCAAGATGTTTCTTCTCCTTTGGGGTTGTGTTAATCACAAGGAGAGAATCTACAATATAATCCTGGTTCTATAAATAATGGGTAAATGATTAAAATTCTTGTAACTCATTTTTTCAGACTCTGTATAAAGCCAGCGTGGAGAGCGAGTGCTTCATTATTGACGCCGAGGTCATCACACACGACGTCCCGTACCACGACTACTTCTACACCCTGAACCGCTACATGCTGACCAGAGTGGCCAAGAACAAGTGTCGATTACGGTAAAGCGCTTACAAACTTATACCCATCTGGCTTATTTTGCAACCGATCCAACTTCTAAATATTCATGGTTCTCTTTTTGGTCTGCCAGAGTCTCAACAGAGCTGCGCTACAGAAAACAGCCGTGGGGACTCGTCAAAGGTTTTATCGAGAAAAACTTCTGGAGTGGACTAGAAGAGAACTTCCGGCAACTTGGTACGATTTTATTATCTTGTTTTTGTTGGCTTTGAATGTTAACAATGTTGTTTGGAATAATAACAGTCGTTCAGTACGCTGTATGGTATGCAGCAGTGTTTCTCAAGCTGCGGTGCGTGTTGTTGTGGTGGTAATTGAATTATCATTGGATTTTTATTCTATTGAAAGTTTGAGGACTGCTTAAAGCTGGATTACCTGACCACGCAATAGGTAATTATATAGCTATTATTATAAAGTGGTAATCTAATAAATAGCATGTAACTACTTCTCCAGCTCAAGCAGTAGCTCTCAAAACAGTTCTATCACTAGTTTTCGCATGTATTTTTGGCTTTTCCCATTTTCTTTTGTAAATAAGAGAGGATGAGCCCTCATTTAACCAATCAGCTATCAGTATGTAAAAGACTCTTTCTGTTGTGACAAACAAAATAAAAACCTAAGTGACCGTGCCCAAGTAAGTAAGTTGTCTGTATTTATTTAACGCCTTTCACGGACCAGAATCACGAAGCACTTTACAATTGTTGTTTTTGCAAAATGTAAAAATGCAACAAAAACGTTCTCCAGCTTTGAATATATAATGTTTTATTTAGCTTCTAGCTTTTGTTCATTTTTTTATTCATTCATTTATAAGCACTTGGCTACTTTACAATTAATATTTCCATTTGTGATCAGAAAGCGTTCATAATATTCAGCTTCATGATTGAACTATATAAATATTTTCCCTTGTGTCTTTCTCTCGTCTCTCTTCAGGGCTGGAGTTGGCAAAGTTGGAGGAGATCATGTCCGAGTCCCATCAGTTGTCCCCGAAAGTCAAAGTGGGGAAAAACTCCACGCTCCGCAGGAAGAAGAGGAACCTCCCTCACATGCGCAGCCAACACCTGGACGAAGCCCTAAGCCCCGTTACCACGCCGACGGACGAGGAAGTGATTCAGCGGATCAAACACGTGGCAGGATCCACCCAGACCCGGTACCAGGGTCCGGAACACCAGCACCTGCCCACCACCTTCGCCCTGTACAGTGTCTCCAGACTGCTGCTCATCATCAGCTTTGTGTGAGTCCGACAGAGACGAGCTGACGGCTTCACGGCAGCACTGCAGCCCGTAACGTCGGAATAGTTGTTTTATATACATTCTCTCAATCAATCCATCATTTATTTTAATTGCACTATTTGTGTACATGGCAAGTCAAAGTGCTTCACAAGAGCAATTTAAAGACACAGACCAAAATGCATAAAAAAAATTAAAAGTCAATTAAATATACAATAATTGCCTCATTAAAAACAGACCAAAATGCATAAAAAGGCAATCATTTATTTGTGTTGTAAGGCTGTTCAAAGCGCTTCACAGAGCAATTTAAAAACACAGATCAAAATGCATAAAAAATACAAAAAGTATTATTGCATCATTAATTTCTCTTGTAGTGTTGTCACAATACTAAACTTCATTTTGATACTAGAAGTTTCAATACCATTGTGATTACATATAAATGCTCTTTTTGGTCAATAGACTTTTTTTTTGCTTGAAATAATACTTTTTATGGGGCCACAAGGTTGTATGAGTCCCTCTGATATAGTTTAAAATGAATCAAAAAACGCTCTCAAGAAATGTCAAATTTGTCTAGTTTTAGTATCGATTAATATGCAATAATTTTGACAACCTTATTCTCTTGTGTATCTAAAATTCCCATCTTCTTTTTAAAATGCTACTTATCACCCTACCCTTTGTTGCCCGGCATAATTCTTATGAACAAAGGGATTCAAAGTTTATTCAAAATCCATTATAATTTTCTTCATATTGTTTTGATAATTGTAGTTCAGATCTATCATGTTTTATATGAATTTATTTTATGCAGAATGGACCTCAGGAAGACTACTTGTGGAAAGTAATGGGGATCCAAATAAGTAAACAAACAAAGTGATCAAAATCATACAGACGAGAGGAAAAATACAAACTTTCCAGTTCTCTGTGTCTTTTGAAGTATTTAACAAAAAGGATGCTACTTATTGTATATGTGTATGGGCTGCAGTGCACTTAAGTAACGCTTTGAGCAATAATAAATCATTCACATTTGATAGATGGCAGTAAGCTACGCTAATATTACTCCTGTTTCCTCTCTTTTTATTGCCATCTATAGGATCTGTCTAAGGTACATTTTTCAACCCGGCAGATGATAAATAGATAGAGCGTGTGTTGTTGCGTTTTTGCTCTTTTTCCTGTTAATCTTTATCCTATTGTGTGTTTATTTGTTTCCGTTCAGCCTGGTTTTGTTGGTGTTCCTCAACATGCTGCTCTTCTACAAGCTGTGGATGCTGGAGTACTCTGCTCAGTCTTTAACCACGTGGCAGAGTTTGCGTCTTCACGAAAGGTACAAAGACATGATTTACCGTTGCTAGTTTTTAGGAGTAAGAGTAATAATATAAAGCCTTCTTACTCGTGATTGCAGCAAACTTCCACAGACGCAGCTGGAGTGGGCTCAGCTCCTAGAGACGCAGCAGCGCTATCACGACTCCGAGATGCAGAAGTGGAGGGAGATTATCCGCTCCTCTGTGGCGTTGTTAGACCAGGTACAACCACTGACAACTTTTAATAATGCATTTGTCAACATTTTGAAATGATCATTTTGAGAGCTGCAAAAAAATGACCATCACAGAATTAGAAACTATTAGAAGCATAGACTCTTTATATAGATGGACATTGCTGGACATTGGAGCTACGACTAGTATCATAGTTGAATATTCATTTTATCGTTTGCCGACTGATTGCCCAACTTTTCCTTTCATAAAGATTAAGGCGCAACGATCATCAAATTTAATATTTAACACATTTTGTTCCTGTCTGTTTTGATTTTATAGATGAAAGACTCTTTATTGAATCTTCAAAGAGGGATCGGTTTGAGAGACTACAGCTCTGAGACTGAAGACAGGAGTCAATATCAATGACAGCACAAGGGCCTGTTGTGCAATTATCAGTAAGAAGAACCAGTATCCATCAGGGGCTCTACAAACGTCTGGTCCAAAAGGCACAGGCGGAGGAATAGACCCCTCTGCCTGAATGAAAGATGTAGCCTTTAAATTAATCAGACTGTTCACAGAAGGAACTAGCAAACACTGGATACATGCACTGCTCCGTGTGATTTTCAAATGCATCCTACTGTAAGCCATGTAACGAGGGGAGAGGGGCGGCAGGAATGATGGTAAACTGCATGCGTTCAAACACCCCTGCTCCTCTCAGTGTACATGTGGTCCAGGTTTATATTTTGTGTCAAAAATGAAAAAGAGATGGGTCCTACAGGGGTGTGCTTGAGTCTGAGGACTCTTTTCACTCTCTCGACTGTTGAAACTTTTTGTCCCCTGGAGGGCGCCATTGCATTCTCTTTCTCAAACTGTTGACTGTGTTGTAGCCGAGCTGATGCTTCAGCTTTTATGGTCTCTCAGGGCTGGATCCTTGTCAGACTCTATTTATTTTTGTATTATTTCCAGAAATCTAGCATTGCAATCATTATTTCAGCAGGCGAGAGCAAAGCTGTTGTGTTATTTTCTGTGTCTTGAGAATGTACTGCTCTAAAGGTCAATACTGAAGATCAGATGTCTGACAAAAGGGATGCTGCAGCCGTTTTGAGGGAGAAGTCTTATATTTATGTTACTGAACTGTGATTATGCCCCTAAAGATTAAGAATTATATGAAAATATTTGAAATATACAAGGAAGATATAGTATTTATTATATAGATTTAAATATACATATATATATATAAACATTACCTATATTTATTCCTAATTTATGTACATAAAAACGAAAGAGCTTTAGAGCAGGGTTTCTAAATGTTTTCTTCAGAAACTAAAATGCATGCCAGACATGTCTGTGACATGTCAGTGTGCAATAAACTGCATTGCGCGGTTATGTTCGCGCTCCTTTGTTCGTACAGAGTGAATGATGAGTGAATGATCAGTGAGTGAGTGAGAGGATGTGAAGTTTTGTGAGTGAGTTTGTATCATTCCTCTCTCATTTCTATCTTATTATCTTTATTTTTTTCTGGCTCAATCGCCAGTGCTGCCTTCATGAAGCTAATGCATTTGTATTCTGCCTCGCATTAGCCCTGCCAGGGTAACAGTTTACACAGATGTTTATTTCAGAGATTTTAACTTGCTCTAAACATGTCAAGCAGAGCTGAAAGTTGTGGCAAATCAGTGGTTGTCATTCACAAGATCTTTACATATTCAGAAAATATGTAGCATGCGGCAACATTTTTTAAAAACTAAAAACATTTTATCCATTATCCGAATGAATCTCATTGCTAACTCTCCAAACCCGGAGTATATAATTTATGTCCTTACAGAAGGCCGATTTTGGTGAGAAAAGCACTTCTTTTATCTAGTTTAGAAATGCACTTTAGGACTTTCAGAATGAATGTCAGTGGTAAATGGTTTCAGCTGGGACTGAAAGGTCTTTTTCACTGTATTTTTTTATGCTCCTGATGATCAAAGCCCACTTATTTTTATCTATATTTGCGAGAATTAAAAGGTGATTGAAGGGAATTGTATAGCATGCCAAAGATATGGCGTGACTGTAGATTTTAATGCTGCTGTGTATAGGCTCTATTACAGTTACTGAAAGCAAGGATATATTGTGAGACAATAGAAAATCTATTCTCTTGAAATATTGTGAATAATGATACCTGAAATATTTGACTATTTAGTTTTGTATGGTACATAAAGATTTAACAGTTTAATGATTGGTCATGGACATTTCATTGTGACTGTTTTCATCCCGACTGTTCTGAACAGGGTCTACCATTGAACTGCTGTAAAACGCACACTACCTTCACACTGGATTTATCATAAGTAAAAACATCTCCAATCACAACACTCCACTCAGTGATTTTATACACCCTCATTTATTTTTCCTTATTCTGTTATCTGCTAAATGAATGATTGTATGATTGCTCTTGATGCAAAGAAATGGAATCGAGGCAAGAAATGAACCATTTTGTGACATGATGAATAATGTGTGTTGTTGACTGTATTCATTGGCATTAGCCTTGTTGTCATAACGACAAAGGCCCTATCAATGCAGATCTAACCAGCAGACTGGGTTAACACACAGAACCTCACAAAATGCAACCACTGATCAAACTTATAGCAAAGGGTCTTTTCCAGTGTGTCTTGATAAACGTGGACTTGTGTAATTCTGTTCTGCTGTATGTTTTTTTAGAAAATGTATTGATTTCTAGGGACACTTCTGGTGAGATTTATACTCAAGATACTGTACAAGGAGTATGTTGCATTTATCTACAGTGGCATCTCACTGACACCCTGCGCTGTGCGTAGGTTTGGGTTTGCTCTGCCTCCAAGAGACAAAACTCAAGTGGCTTTCTGGTTCATGTGAAGTAGAGGTTGAAATGAATAAAACAACAACTTAAAGTCTGTTTGTTGGTCTCATCATGTTTTAGTGATGTAGAGATATAGACAGCATTGGGGAGGCACATGTGCTGCTGTGAGGTATACTGTAAGAATCTGGTGAGTGAGTAAATGAATGTGGTGGTGGACTTATGCTGCAAAACACTTAACAAATACAGGGCCTTATTATTATGTTTGATTGGGAGTGAAAAGGTACATATAAATTTATGAACACGCTACACAAAATAGTAGCTAATGCCAACACTTTTAGCTACATTATATATTATAGTCATTAAGACCTGTATGTGTTGTGTCAAGAAATGAAGACAAGACACAGTGGCACCTGTGCCACAGTATAGTTCAGGTTCAGTTCTTCAGATAATAATGTTAAGCAGTAATACAGATATAACAGGTGTCCCCAGTACAAAATATGCTGGTCAGATATCACAGTAGCCACACAGACAAACACACACATTCACAACAAATACTGTACATATTTCCTTTTCTCCTGGAGGCTGTCCTTTATTATTGCATCAACAGAATACATTATTTTTAACCTGGAGCCCCACACTTTAGAAAGATCACAGCATTTATGAGTGAAAAACAGTTAAATGAAAAGATGCATTAGTCCCGTAGCAGAGGATGTGAGGCGGGTGAGGTCACTGCGTCACTGTAATGAGCCAAGGGGGATGGGACGCACACAGCATCCCATGACATCCAATGAAGATCTGAAACACGGTTTGGGGTGGATGATTTCCACTTTTCTCTCTCCTCTGGGGGGGCGTGGCCTTGTGTCTGCGTTTGACAGCCACGAGAAGACGAAGAGGCGACGCTCAGAGAAACACTGGAGAGGGAGGACCACGCTGCTTATGCGGGAGCTTGGGAAGATGACGTTTGCAAGTCCTCACTCCAGTCTGTTACTGAGGATGTCAAACTAGAATATCATCCCCAACACACGATTTTAAGATTAGTGGCAAGTTTGTGGCATCCATGCAACGTGCCTTCACTTTCCCAATGACTGTTGAGCGCAGTCGGACTAAAGAGTGTCTGGAGGCGAGTCTGGCCGGGCTGTGTGAGCTTGAACTCCGCAAGCAGAAGCAGGAGTCCCTGGTGCTCGGGGCGCTGGCTCTCGGGGACCCCCTCCTCCTTCAAGGGGACCAGGGCGCACCAGGGACCGACGCATGTTTCAGCATCTGGGGCCAGGAGAACCTCACACTCAGGCGCCAGCTGGTAAGATTTTTACTCTTGTTATGGTCACACCCCAATGTAGCTGGCTTATACACCCCCAAAACCATGCCTGTCTGTCCCATATCCAACACTCTCTGATCACTCTCATTGTTGTCCACTTGACCGCTCTCACTTAGCTCTCAGTCTTTTGTATCAATGTGTGACCTTTGTGGGAATTCTTTTTTTTTTAAGTTACCAAACTTGATTGATGGCTAACATTCAAAGAAGGTAAAGCATGTCTTGGGGTTCGCACTGGGAATCATGCACCAGGCTAAAGAAATAAGGGGGCGGAGCAGGGCGCGCAAACCGACTCCTAATGGCCCATTGTTCCTCTCATCATCACGGACTTTTGTGGCTTTTACGAGTTTTTGCATTGCAGCCTCACGCACAGAATACCTGCAGGTCATTTGTCATAGTTTGATAGTTTGTTTTCCCCACATATAGGCACCAATTGATAAAAATCCATCTCTGTATTTTGTATTTATTTATTGCTGAAGTATGTCTGATTTTAATTGACTGATGGAATCTCTCTTGTGTATATCCTATATGTTTCTTAACTTTCTTCTAGGTTGATAGCACTAGGTGTAGGCATGGCAGATAAGACATATAGGTTAGCTGTGCAAAATCATTTATCTAGACCCATTAAAGTCAAATGTAACTGCTTCTTGTTACTATTAATGTATTATATCTTCTCTAATGATTGTGATGCGTTGTCGCTGCACTCCACATATCATAATAGTGCCACAATAAGACTTTATTATATTGAACTGGGTGGAACAGAAATTGAATCAGCCGCCTCCTCTTCACACCTCCCTCCCTTTCCTCCACTGGGACCTTAACAATAGACGCATATGGGGCTGAATACTAATGACGAAGAGGCCCCAGCACTGGCAAAAAATAACATGCATTGGCATCATATGGACATTGAGATCATGACTTGCCACGTATATCATTACAAGTCCACCAGAAATGTCTACAATCCTTGCTTTATGATGGTATAGGACAACTGTGCAACACTATAAATAATTTACCAGGAAGGGGTCCACAAGAGATTGAGTTCCACCCCAATATTTGATTTGAGCAATAATAAATACATACAGTTATCGATTTTCCAAAAACAGAGCAGAATCAAACCGTTTGAACACAGGAAAAACCATAATATAATTTAGCGATGTAATTCTTATTGATAAATGAGTTTCGGCACACGTCCTGGTTGGGATCAATGGTTTTTGACAGATTTGCCTCTCCGAGCGTGTGAGTAATTACAAGGGTATTCCACTGAGAAGATTTCCCATGTTTGCAGGTCACCATCTGTGTCAAAACCAAATCCTCAAACTAATTTTCTCCTGTGTGGATTTGTAATCAGAGGCCATGATAAGTGTCAGTATATAAGCAGCCTTGAAGACTATACTGTAGGTCAGGACCCCCTTTTTTGGGACTCCGGATGATAATATGGTGTTGTAGATCATCATTTGAATTCCCCATACCCTTCCTCGCTTTAATGAGAATGAATTTGTACTATAATTGTGCGTGTGTGTGTTGGTGACAGGTAATCAGACCAAACATTAGCAGAAGTGTTGTGTTTCCGGCGTCCCACTGGCTTCGCTGTGTGGAGCCGGTCACAACAGCGCCTTAATTATAGAGGACTGAACGGTGTGTGCTCTCTGCAGCAGCTTTCACCGTTCAGGGAATTGGAGTGTTTTCCTCGTGACATTTCACCGCTTTGTTTTAACGCCGACAACTCCACTATCGTCTAAATTAGTTTTAATGCACAAGGGACCGAATGTGGCTTGCAACATTTACTGTCAACTTTCAAATTTCACAGATGATCAAGTATTGGTATAGTGGTGGAGTGCTATTGTACACTTTAGGCGTATTCACAGACTTCTGGTTCACTTTGGGCAAAAAATGCTTTATTTTGTGGATGTAAAAACACAAAACAACTGTCCACTCGTTACTCAACATATTTTGAGACTAATCCGTGAAGCATTTTTGAAACTCTACCAGACCAAAAAGTGTGAAGGCTCCCATAGAAAGCTGGACCTCACCAGTCCAAATATATAAAAATACTGCATGTGCTCTCTATATTGGGCGGCACGTTGGAGTGGATAGCACTCTCGCTTCTCAGCAAGAAGGTCCTGGGTTCGAATCCCGGTCGGAACAGGGCCTAACTGAGTGGAGTTTGCATGTTCTCCCGGTGTCTGCGTAGCTTTCTTCTGTGTACTCCGGTTTCCCCTACCACTAAAAACATGTACAATAGGTCTGGCATGCGCCTCCTGTACTGGCGACCATCTCTGTGTGGAGTGAGAGACAAATTCTCAAAAAATAACAATTGTAAACCGCTTTGTGACTCTGGTCTGTGAAAGGCGGTATATAAATAAAGATTACTTACTTACTTACATCCATCCATTTTCTTCTGTTTCATCCGTTGCCAGGTCGCGGGGCAGTCTACATTAAACAACATTTAAAACAATAGAAAACATATTTATATAGCAGAAAACTTACTATCATTAGTGCTGATAGGACTGGGGCACAGTTTTACACGATTACACAGTGGATAAAAAAAAAACAACGAAAAAACAGATAAACACAATCAATAATGAGGAATCATCATCGTCTTCCCAGTCAAGTTAATAGAAAAAAAAATATTCAAGCCAAAAATATATACCCCTATAGTGGAACCACAGTGTCAGAAAGAGTGGGCACATTTTTGGGCACTATATTAGTAAATTAAACTGTTTTTTGGTACTGATACAAATCACAAAATATCTTCTTTTCCAAAAATGTGTTCCCTTTTTTTTCTCCTGAGCATTAGTGTGGAGACATGGCTTTTTGTTGTTGTTCCATTCTTGTTACCATGTCCCACATGCACTTTATATTTTTCTTTTTTGCTTCAGACCAGGACACCTCTTTGAGTGCATTCTTTTGTGTCTCGCCTCTGGTCGATACAGACTAGAAGTATCCAGCTGACCCCGTTCCACCTGGTGATCTGTATTTTTCCACAGTGCAGGTGTTCCTATGACTATGTGTTATAAACAATTTAATGGTAAGGTAAAGCAGTCTGTAAAAATAAAAATGGTCCACAGTCGCCGCCCCATCCCCCACAGCAGGAGGATGTAGTAAAACAGAAATGATACAGTGCACTTGCACTTGAACGCAATCAAAGAGGCTGAAAGATGGTGGGGAGACCTGCCACAAAGACCTGAGATTAAAGATTTTCACAAAATAAATGTAGCTCATTCATCTTGGTTAGTTATCAATTGACGTCTGATTTTTATCGAGTAAGCAAGGTTTTGTACGTGGTGTATGTCCTGTTTACCTTTTGCCCAGATGTAATTGTTACGTGTTTAAAGCCTTTAGACCTGGTTTAGTCATGGCTTATCTTGCATTAGTCCTTTTATTATTGCCAGTACCAGTACCACAAAAGAATCAATGGTTCCCGATGTTTTAATATACGTATAGAGCACTCTGCATTTCTAGTCCAATAAGGGCTGCAACCAATCAATTATGTCCAACAGCCTTATTGATTTATAGATTTCCATTGGCCTCCCCCATATCCTCTCACAGCTTTCACTTCCAGTCTGTATTTAAGCCAAACGCGCCCACTTTTCATCTCGCAGCCTCATAAAAGCATATCGATGTTAATTAATGTGAATGTACAGTGCTTAGTGTAAAACAATGGAAGAATCTGTCAAGACAAAAGGCCTCACATTGTCCTGCCGAGGTGACGCAGGCAGCTTGGGTCGGATCGGGTCAATTGCTCTGTCGGCTTTGTGGGATTCACTCATTCATTCATGTAATTGAAGGACAAAGAAGTAATGTAGCTGTTATGGAAACATGTTGTATCCTGATTTTTGACTAAATGCATTGCTCAGTTGAATCTATATTGTATACATTTAATCAGATTGTTGTGGTGATGGTATGTTATGCAACCATAGTTGGCAGAAAAAATTCCATATGTAAAAAAAGACGAAGAAGGACCTCGCTTTCAAAACTGCCTTCGTCACATCTTTAGATCAGATTTATCTTGCAGAAAGGAGAAAATGAGAGAACTCCCCCACTCGGCCAATCAGCTCTGAGTCTAAAGCATCAAATAGTGACTCACAGAGATTATTCTTGCAAGTACGCAAAAGATTTATGAACAAAAATGAACAAGATGAAGACAGTATGCAGTGGTCTGAGTAGTTCACAATTTAATCACTATAAGAAAAGTTAGGTTCCCAGATTTAAAGTAACGGCCGATATCTCATGAGAAAACAATGTTTACCTGTGAGCCATGTGAGTCACAAGTTGACTCTTGGGTCGAAGGCTGAGTCTGGATGGTCCTCTCTTTTTTCCTTTTTTGCATGAAAAATCAATTTTTAAAGGAGTAATATCTACACTTTCCCTGACACGGGTTGCCAGATATTAAGACAAATCCAGAAGAGTTTTGTCAACAACAAATCTGTAACCAACAACTTTTTCACAAAGGCCCGATAGAAATCCTTGTTTTATTCCTTGATTTGTCAAAAATGATTTGAGAATCATAACATACCCTTTTTTGTACTGCGGCCACATGTTACTACATGTGAGATTGGCTCGACGCAGTGAGTTCTGGCAACCCAGATCACAAAATTTGAATATCCCGGCTGAACTACTGTTATCAGTTAAAGAAATGTTTGGAAAGAGCACGGTTTATTAATGCCTTTTGAAATATTAGGCCCATTTAATGATGACTTGACATGAAAATTGTACATGTTAGAGACCAAAAGCATATGCATGTAAAAACTAATGATAGAACCACACCCTTTTTTGAGTCAGGACTGAGTCAGATTATAATATTTATAATTAAATTGGTTCTGGTTTGAAAGTTAGGTACCCCAGCTTTAAGCCTACATGGTGGTTGAAATGGAAGAGTCTTGACATGCGGATGCAGCGCTGAGTCTAATGTACACAGACAGCAGAGTGCAGATCAGTCGTGTTGCTCTGCTTCTCTGTGATATGAAAGTGACCATCACCTTGTCACGAGGACACGCTCCATCTCCTGTTAATGAGACTCCTGATGACCCAGTGTCAGCTGTGGTCTCTGCACCACATCATGTCACAGGCTGTCATGTGACGCAGACTTCCGACCGGGGGTAATTGTCAGATTTGCATGTGTCCATCTTTAATGACTGGCAAAAATGATAAGAGGAAGTAAACTCTAGTAAGGAAATTAGCATCTATCAATCAGCCAGATTAGTAAGTAGTTATCTTTATTTATATAGTGCTTTTTTACAGACCAAGGTCACCCAAAGTGATTTACAATGTTCAGACTTCAGATATTTTTCTATTCTCTCCACACTGGCATCAAAACCTCTTATCAACACCATCCGTTCACTCACTCATTACATTCATACCTATTGTGCATGTTTTTAGTGGTAGGGAAAACCGAAGCACCTGGAGGAAACCTACACAGACACAGAGAGAACATGCAAACTCCACTCAGAAAAAGGCCCTGTTCTGACTGGGATTCAAACCCAGGACCTTCTTCTTATTATTATTGTGTTATTGTCAACATCTTCCAACATACGATTTTTTGTATTTCAAGCACTACAAGATTTTTCTTTGTTTTCTTTGTTTATTTTCTAATTGGCTTTATTTTACTATTTGTACACAATTTACACATCACAAATGGAAACGTTATATTCTTAGTAAATGTCTTCTATAATAATAACAAAAGAATAAAGATAAACCAGAAAAATAAAATTATTATTATCATTTTTTTTTATCACAAAACAAGCCATAAAAAGTGAAGATGAAATAAATGATAATAACAAAAGAAAAAAGATAAACCAGAAAAATAAAATTATAAATAAATAAAAAATCACAAAACAAGCCATAATTCGTCATTAGAGTGCCATAAAAAGTGAAGATGAAATAAGTTAATGGAACAGAAAATGGGACCTCTGGGAAAGTAAAGTAGAAAAGTAGTGGTACTAATGTATTTTAAAAAAAATTACAAAAAAAGGAATTAATCTGGGACCGAAGGGAGATTTAAGTGCTGCACTAATTGATGGACAAATGTTTAACAAGGCTTTACCTCATGCAAACATCTTCATCAAATCTATCAAATAATAATCAAATAATATATCCCAAATCCTGCTCAGAAATATTGTTATATTGACAAATGTCCTGAAAAAACCTCTGCTGGATATGAAATATAAGCTGAGAGGAATTAAAAAATACTGTGTGGACTGTGGTAAATGGTGTGAAATGTTTTTTCCTATGACTTTCCTATGAGTTTCAAAAGTAGTCTTTTATTTAGAATTTTGAAACTCCCATTCAGAAGTTATTTTCCCATCAAAGGGGAAATATTGTTGCTGCAAAACATCAATCCTTGGACATGGACAAGAAGTAATCTATTATAAGGTTACTATTTTACCCTGTCCTCTGTACTTTCAGTCTGTTTCTGTGGTGTGCATCTTTGAATAACTTTTGTGATGAATCATCACTTTGCTTTGATAAATCACTTCCCACTCCATTTTGGGCTCATCTCTGACGAGAAAAAGAAAATTATGTATGCTATTTGTGTATACCTAAATAAAAAAATTCAAACATATATATTTACATACACTGTATTCTCAGATAAATGTAAAGAAAATATAACTTTAGAATTGTCGGCCTTAAATGAACCACTTACATAAAAGATGAGGTTAAATGAAATGCATTTTGTTAAACGGCACAAGACCAATCTCCTTCTTCCACCTCTTGTTTTGAATTATTCATGTTCCAGTCGGCTGCTCCTTCTGTGAGGCTGCTTACATAAGTTACGCATATATATGTACGAAGATGCACTTTATACATGGCCCTCAGATAACCTTTGTGATTCTGTGCTCAAGTAGAAGCGCTGCATTGTGGCTTTCCACATCTCAGCTGAAATAAGAATCTCTCTTATTTATTTCACCATGCAATTACTATAAAAGGAACCTTCTGCCCATGTGAGTGGCTACAAACAAGCAGAAAACCATGGCTAATGCTCCCTGAAGCGTGACTAAAAGAAACAGCTCTTGCAGAATACTATACATATGAAACCGTTTCAAATAATTCAAGTTTTGCACACAAATAGCATAAAGTAAACATTGTGTTCGTATAATCACGGTGCCCAAATGTGTTCCATACAGGGCTACATGCTGAAGCAGAAGTACATGCAGACTAGATGGCCAAATTGAATCATAAACCAGCTGTTAAAACCACATTTAAAATGTGACTTTAGAGAGATTATCCTGAGCCAACAGATGTTTGTTCCTGCGTAGGACTAAATGAGGACACATGAAAGGGCTTAATATTGGCTTTATAAAGGTACATCCTGCAAAAAAAGGACATAGATTTGCACTTTGCGGCAAGAAAAAATTATATTATATCGAGAAAATTGTCTCAAGGCTACACTCGGGTGCACTCACAATACCTGGTGTTTGTGTGCACTGTCCTATCCAAAATGATAAAAGAAAAAATAAGTATTATTAGAAACTGTGGGCTGAAAGACATACAAGGCTGGAATATGCCACTGAAGTATTTTTTTTTTTTTTCTTGAACCGTTTATTGTCCTGAAACTAAGAAAATAATAGAATAATAGAAAATAAACTGATGTATTCTACCAGTATATATTTATTGAAAACATAGTAATGAATTGTTGAATGAACTTTGTGTTATGTTTTTGTTGCAGAGCGCCCTTCAGAGCCACCCATGGACCCTGATTCAGTCCTTGGAGCAGCAGGTGGGAGAGCTCAGGATAGACACTGACACAGCGGGAGACGGAAGCGACAGTCGACCCAGTTCTGGTGAGGCTCTCAAAGATTCAAAAATAATAGGACGAATATCTGAATCTTAAAAATATGTGTTGTATCAGTGGGGAATGGATTTCAACAAAAATACAGAATTTGAGAATGTATTGCCTGCTTATGACAACACTGCTCCTGACAATGTGTTGATGACTTGTTGTGCAATTCAAAAAGCTTAAAAGGTAAATGTTAATTGTATTTTTCACAGGTTTTTATGAGTCTAGCGAGGGTCAGTCACCGAGGGGGAGGTCTTCCGCTGAGCCCACAGAGACACAGTCAACATGGACATTTGTGAATGACAGGCCCAAGTCTGTGGGTAAGTAAATACCTTTGTTAAAGGGGACGTCATGCACAAAATCTTATGTTCTCTGTGTTATTATTGTTATTCCCGTCCACTTATCCACCTACAGTATGCAAGTTATTTTTAGAGTGACGTGTGCATTTACTAACAAAGAATTTCACAAAATACAGATACTGACCAATATTGAAGCTCACTCTTTACTGCCCATTTCCTAACTTGCACAAAGTATGGGCATCATATAATCTAGTTTGCATGTTCTCACATCATACCTTCGTGTAAAATACATAGATTTAACGAAATACAAACCTAATGACTAAACCCAAGGACTAATGAGCTAAAATATATTTTGTTTACAGAGCCATTTCTCTTTGGAATACTGCCCTAATTTATTTTGAAAACATCTTAATCTCATGTTATTTCATGCTCGCTTCACTTACCGGTAGAATTATTTTTGCTGACCTTAATCTGTAATCAGAATCAGAATCAGAATGATTAATTTTTGGGTAAATTATGATAAAACATTCAAAAGTATATATAAGGCAAGCATGAAAATTACGGAGGAATTAAATTATAAAGGAGCAGAGAATAACATGGCAGAGGCATAAAGATAAAATAAACTATTGTAAATGGCAGGGATATTCTCATGGTTGAGCTACATTGCTCAAGCCTTATGGCACAAATTAAAACAAACATGCTCATTATTGTGATATTTAATAAAAAACTTTATGCAATGAGGCAGCTTCAAGTCAATACAAGAGCTTGCAATTTAAAGCAACAGTGTATGTGTATTGTGGTTCAGTATTTAGATTTAAAATGTTGAAAATAAACTTTTCCCATGATTCTCAAGTCTTGTAGATGATTATACAAAGATTCCAGACATGATCATCACAATGCTCTTTTGCTCACATGTTTTCTCTTTTTGTTTACTGTCTGCAGGTGACTCACTTTCCCCAAACGGAAACATAGACGTCCCCTTCGCTCGCACCACTCTCCCTCGGTCTTTCTCCGCCCCGTACCCGCCTCTCGAGGGCATCGCTGAGGAAGGCTCTGGACCCGATCCTTGGTTTTGGGATTCGGTTAAGACCACCCAAACATGGCCCCAACATCAGCAGCAGGAAGGACACCAAGAGGACGCCGATGTTGCTCAAGAGGAGGACTACCAGCAGGCTTTGCGGGTAGAGGGATACATTTTGAGTGTCATCCATAGACATACCCTTTACCCGCGTCCTTGCCAGCCACGCACCACGCTCAGTCCCGATCCCACTCACTCCAATACCTCCTTACATCGCAGAACACCGTCGCTTACCTCTGAGTCGAGACCCTATGACCCGTACCTAGACCTTTTGGGGCATGCTAATAGTCAAACCAGGGGTTGTGACCTGTATGAAGGAGAAGCTTGTGGCGGAGAGGCCCCATCATTGGAGGAGGACTGTTTTTTGGCTCTACCCTACCCCCAATCCAGGCCGCACTCTTTAGCTGGAAGGCTGCCATCACCTCTGCCCTTCGTAGACCCCAACTGTGTCGCTGGGGCTCTTGACCTCTGCGGTGAACTCACATCCCCCCGTCATTATGCAAAAGCACCGCCCCCTATTCACCCGAACCTTGTAAATGCGCAGTTTGTTTCGAGACAAGGTTGTCGCGCCGCCATACAATCTCCAAGACATTACGTTCCGAGTAGGCCCATTCAAACAATCACCTCCCCAGAGCACCAGAGTAGAGCTAAAGCAGCCAAGAAGAACCAAGTTGACCGTGTAAAGGTTAAGAAAGTAAATGGCAAGAATAGATCGCAGTCTGAAAATAGCCTTCTTGGGCAACACATGCTACCTGAACGGCGATACAGCACAACGGAGAGACCTCAAGGTAGAGCGGACTCTGCCTATAACCAAGCTGTGCAAATGAGTCGCAACAACGCCCATAGACGCTGGTGCTCAAACCTGGAGCTAAGCCAGGATGAAGGGGACTCCCATACACCGCAAGTCAACAGGCGACCACCGAGAAAGCGCAATGGTCATTTGTGCCAGCAGCAGCAGCAGCAAAGCCAACAGCATTACCAGCAGCAGAGACAACAATGGCAGCACTGTGAGTACCAGCAGAGAGCCCCACTGTGCAGGGAAGAGGAAGTGGCATACTCAAGAGCTGCTCCGGCTGAGTCTGAGTCCAGCATGAGCGAGGTGTATTCTCCAGGCTCCAGCTCGATGTCCAGTGACTCGGACGAGAGCGGAGGGTTGGTGTGGCCTCAGCAGTTGCCACCTCGACTGGCCGTGGGGTCTTCATCTTCGTCCTCGCCCTCTCCGCAGAACGCCGCCGCAGCGAACGGAAGCTCGTCTCAGCCCAAAGCTTTCGTGAAGATTAAAGCCTCCCACGCACTCAAGAAGAAGATTCTGCGATTCCGCTCAGGGTCTCTCAAAGTCATGACCACTGTTTGAAAAAGCCGACCATGTGATGTTTGGAAGCCATTTTTTAACGGACCTACAAGTTGGTGATTGTAATGTGTAAAAAAGTCTGGACTTTTATGTCACACGTCTGCTTCCTCCAACTCAAAAATACAACATATTACTAAACACAGTCTTCTCAACTCCCATTCCAAACAGGCCAGTTCAAATTGTTTAACATAAATATTGAATTACCGGTTGTTTTCTCTATAATTGAAAAAAATTATAGAAAATATCTCAATGAACAATGATGGTATAAGGAAGCTAAAATATCTTCTTCTATTTCAATGAACAAGAATCACCATTAGAAAATATGTTAAACTGCCATAAATAGAGAAAAGAATGACACTTGACAATAATATGCACAATACAACTTAAAGGTGAAGTTTCAACCATTAGTTTAATGACAGGTCTATGACACCAAAGAGACACAAGACAAAGTGTCCATGTCAAAAGGAGGCACACGTCTAGTTTAATGCTAACCCACGACTACAGCAATGCTTTTCACTTCTATAACAAGAACCTCGAATGGACCTCACAGAGCACCTCTAATGTTTCAGCACAAGTCACTTATTTCATGTTTTAGTGTTTTGTCTGTGTATGTTGTAACTGTGCTCTCCTCTCTGGGCTTTCCTTTCATTCAGAACTAAACTAATGTCTTTCCACTACCTCTTTTTCTAAACTAAACATTATAGAGCAGTGTACAAGCAAAACTATTAAAACACAAGATAATATGACAATTTTGTTAATATCATGTACATATATCTTGTGGCCTTGTTGGAACGAATGTAGTTTGTTAATAAAAATGCAATTGTAATTTTCATTGACATATTGACTGTTGTATCAATGTGCATGTATGTGAAGTGTTTGTCGTGTAGTATAGGCCCATACTTATACAGCAGCGCTCTCTAGTGGTTAGCTAATTCAATGAATGCCAGTTTTCAGTTTTGACAGAATTATTATCTTTATTATAATTTATACAATATGTAGCTACAGTGACAAATATACCAAAGATGATTCACAAGATGAAAAAAAGGCTGATTGGAAAATATTACGCTGTGCTAGATCTGAGTTGATCCATAATCTTAGTATTTTTACAACGAAACCACTCATTCTTACGTAATACTGATGGTTATTTTTGCTGCTGACAGGCGTTGACCACAACTTATATCAACTTCATATCTTAGTCATCTCTTTGACACTCGTGCTCCTGGACTCAGTATTATTAGTGACGCTCGTCCTGTTCAGCGGTTCCTCAGTTGCAAAGTGCAGAACAGCACGAATGGAGCTGTTCATTTTGCTTTTAAATCCACGTCCCAGGCAAACATACAGCAGCGGGTTCAGGCAGCTGTTCACATAGGCCAAACAAAGTGCAAGCGTGTGCGCAAAGAACACCTTGGGCCTGTCTGGAGAGAAGCGCGGCGTGCGCAGGAGAATAAAGTCCACAACGTGAAGGGGGATCCAGCAGAAAAAAAAGCTGATTATCACTGCTAGTATTATCTTGAGCGTGCGTTTGGAGCGCATCCCTGCACGGCTGCTGTCTGCGCGCCTGTACACGCACCAATGGCACAGCGTGATGACCAAGAAAGGCAGAGCAAACCCAAGGAGAAAACGGAAAGAAAAAACAATCAACGACGAGGCTTTTGTCTTAAACACTGTGGCACACTCTCGCTTTTTCAGTCCTGCTTCTACTTCTTTGTAGAATATAAACTGCGGCGTGCTGACAATCAGAGAGACGCACCAGACAAGCACGCACATCCACGCAGCTTGCTTGGGCCGTCTCCTATTTTGGCACCACACGGGCTTGGTCACCAGAAAGTAGCGGTCCAAACTGATGACGACGAGCTGGAGCACGCTGCTGTACATGACCAGGTAGAAAAGGCCTTTAATCAGGGTGCAAGCCAAAGGGCCAAAGGGCCAATGGTCATCGTGGGCGAGGGGCACCATGAGAAGAGGCAGAGACAGGCAGCATAGGAGGTCAGCCAGGGCCAGATTTAAGAACCAAAGTGATGTGACCGAACGGGGCATGCAGAAGCCCGTCACCCACACGACCAGGGCATTACCAGGCACTCCCAGCAACATCACAATGCTATAACATACCAAAGATATGATCTGGGCAGGTGTGAATATAGGGTTAGAATCTTCCTGAATACCAGAAATGTTGTAATCTGTGTAGTTGTCATAATCTTCCATGGTCACTGTAAAGGAATATCACAAGTTAAAAAAAATGTTATTCAAAATGCACCATTTCTTTACTGCATACTTACATAATGTGAATATGCCTGTCTGGCTTCTTGTGGTAGGAAGTTGAGAAATGTTCTGCTTTTAAAGCATTGTAACGCCGCCCAAAATGACAAAATGCACTTGCATAAGATCAAGAAAACAGGATACAGAAAATAAGGGTATCTCCATGGATATCAATGTATCTAGTATGAATGGAAATGAATGAAAACAGTGGCTCTTTTGAGTAATATGTATGCTTTAATAATATCCTTGGACTGGACCCATTTCACGGGAAATCCAAAATAAATAAATAAATAAAACATTGGTTTCTCAAATATCAGTATTGAACTAACTCAAAGCAAGCCAAATCCTTCTGTTTACAGCAAATACACAATACAACTTTACATATTTACATTTCAGCATCATCACTTCATTTGAAATAGCAATATAATACTATAGTCTAGTTACTATCATAATATTAAATACAATAACTCTAGCTACCTTTCTGAGGTTCACAGGTAGCATAATACAAAATAAGTAACACAATCTGAGTTTGTCTATGTCGCTATCAATATTATTTTTCATCCTATACACAACATTAGATTAAAAAATCCCATGTATGTCCTTCATATTTCTGGAATGCCACACCAACATGAACTTTGATGTACATGCATATTTGGAGGACAAAAAGCTTGACTTCTACAATGAAAAATGTGCACTTCTGATGTTCGACATCTTCCATAAAATGAAGTCTGTGATCATGTTCCCAGTATCACAGGACACTGGTGAATCTTTGTGACAGTCATTTTAGAACTGAAGCGTTGCTCGGTGGGAGTGTAGGTGTATCATCTCGAAATGCATCAGACTGAAGATCTGTAAGGACAATAATATATCATTAATTTTATAAAAGATGTTACTACTTCTATGTCTTCTTTCCCTCTTTATTGTGGCCTACAATATTCCTACGATTAAAATGATTATACATATTTGTGGTTAAGCTTGCCATTTATTACACCATAAATATTCCAATGTACCTATAAGAGTAAGTCCAGGCTGTGGGTTGAATATGACAGATGTCTCCTCCTCGTCATCCTCTCCCCAGTCTGCGATGTTTGCAGGAGGAATGCACTGCTCCAGGAACAGGTCCTCCTCATCATCCTCCAGGTCAATGTTCTCCGGGGGCCATCGCAGTTCTCCACTCTCCACCTCACTCAAGTCAGTGGGCTCCACCACAATAGAAGGCAGGCGCTCCTTCTGCTGCTCCACGTGGTTCACAAAGGTTTGAGGAGACAGGATGACTTCCACTGGCTCGGGGAAGATCTGCAGGGCCATGAAGAATGTACAAGTTCAATGTATAACTAATTTGTATTGTAAATATACGGTAAAATGTAATGAATTAAGGTTAAGTGTATGCATAATGAGGACTTACAAATTAAATTACCTGAAATGGTATTCTTTGGTCATTGCCATGATTGTCATCAGCGTTTAGGCCATGTCCAGTCTCCATCTGCCTGCATACAATCAGTGCTTTAGAGTCAAATAAGGATTATTCCAGTTGTGTAGTGTTTGGAGTGAGCTGGTTTCACTCCCACAAAAAGGCAATTTGTAATCCATGAAATCCTCAAAAATTCGACCCTCAGTCTTTTTTATAATCCGCCCATTGATTGGCCATAGATTCCTCCAATCTCATTGGAGATTTTGTGGGGTAATGTGTGGCTCTGAGCGTGCCCACTGCCATCCCCACACACAGATTAAAAAGATATTCAAACAGGGTTTGATATCAAAATGGATTATGTTCTCAAACAACCATTTGATTTAGCGAAAGGGAGCCTAAGGACAAATCATTTGTTTGGATTTAGTGAAATGGCAACAGGATGACATTTCTATTTGGTTATTGACATGTCTTAAGATAAGCGGCAGTTTAGCAAGATACATCTATTTTTTAACCTTGTTTAGTCTCTTGCTAAAGCAAGAAGATATTAACACATTTAAACCATCTTCAGACTACTCTGAGTGGTTGATTACTTAAACAGTGGCTATTATAGATCTAAGTATATTTTCTAGTGTTTTTTCATGTTCATTATAAGCTGTTTTCTTTTTATAGTTCATTATAAGCTGTTCCCTTCAGTAAATGGCAAATTGCAGACACTGATTTAGTTTGCTTCTGAATAAGGACAGCATTCGATTAGATTTAAGGGGTTGCATTTTTGGCCTATGGACTGAGCACTATTGCACTATTCAGATTTTACTCTGACCACATCTTTGAGTGGAATCCACATAAAGCTTGTTTTTGCACAACGCAAATGGAAACTTTCTGTCGCTTAGCTGTTTTAGAAATAAACCGTGATCATAAATCACTTTAGACAACTGTGAAAGCATTATCACACACACACAGAAGCTAACTCATTAAAACTCTTTGAAAAATACCGTGCAGTAACACCGTTCACCACTTGCTCAAGAGCGCCGTCTCTTTTCTGGGGAGTTTTAGGGTGCAGTACCACCTTTTCACCACTTGCTCTCTACCGCCGTCTATACTATCTACTTCCAGAGACAGGGCTTTTCGTCTGCCCGCTGAGAGGCCTGTATTTCTTTACGGTCCACATGTCTGTGGCAGGACGGGCCCACTGTGAAATCTACAAGAATGGAGAGAGCACAACCACGCTGTATGACACGAGTCACCCACACAACTGCACCCAGGTGGCCACCATCAGCAGCATACTGGAGTTAAAGGAGAAAGATCAAGTGTGGGTCAATCTGTGGGGGCATGGGAGACATGAGATTGTTGCTACTGAGGACAATGATACTGTCTTTGTTGGCTTCTACTTAGGATGAAAATGTGTTTGTCTACCTCAAACTGATTCTTACAATAAACAGTGCAAAAAGTAATTAAGTAATCTTTATTTATATACCGCCTTTCACAGACCAGAGTCACAAAGCGGTTTACAATTGTTATTATTGAGAGATGGGAGCGGGGTCGCCAGTACAGGAGGCGCATGCCAGACCTATTGTGCATGTTTTTAGTGGTAGGGGAAACCGGAGTACCCGGAGGAAACCTACGCAGACACAGGGAGAACATGCAAACTCCACTCAGAAAGGCCCTGGTCCGGCCGGGATTCGAACCCAGGACCTTCTTGCTGAGAGGTGAGAGTGCTGTCCACTCAGCCACCATGCCGCCAGTGTGTTCTGTCTTCTTTCTCCTCTGTGTCCTGGGGATATTACTGCTCAAGTTGAAACATGCATGCTTTGCATACACCTACAACAGGACAGTTGGCTTGAAGGGACGTAGTATGTTTGGTAAAAATATTTGAGATACGTCAGTAATAGTAAGTATTACTGAAGTAGAAAGAATGTATCTTGGACAGCAATGTTATTCAGCAAATAGTAGTCATACGTAGTCTGACAATGCCCTCGCATGTGTGCGCTCGAATTATTTGATTGCACAACATAAATATTCACGTATGATATTTAGTCTGGTGTTAAATATTGTTGCAACGTTTTTGCAACAAAACCTGAAGTTGTGGAATTCATGTTTTACCAAATTACAGCGCAGCAAAGTGACTTCAAGCATGCACTTTGATGCATATCTCATAGTTGTCATTTTTGTAAATCCACATTTTTGTCTCAAACAACAAAGGTGATTGCAAAATGAACATGATGAAACAAAGGCTTGAATACAAGTTTTAGTTATGCTGTTGTTATTCACATGTATTATTGATATTTTGTATATATATATATATATATATATACAACTTCAGGTTTTTTTGCAAAAACCTTATAACAAGAACATGATAGAGCTAGCTATGAAACAAGGTAAATATTAAATTAGAAAAAATATATGTATCAATAAAATTCCACTAATACAACATCACATTACCATCTATCTAAGGTTAATCAAACAATATAAATATTGTTGTTCAATATAAATTTGAAAAGTAATTCCATGCAAAGATAATATAGCTCTTTATAGCGCTGATTCCATTCAATAAAGCAAATCCAAAATGTCCTTCAAACATGCCACAAAAGAAATGTCAAAGGAGAACCAGAATAACAACTAGTTTGTGTCTGCGAGAATCTCTCACCTTCTCCTCATTCTTCTGTTGGACTCTCACAGGTAAGGAGCATCTCTGTGCCTGTCAGGACAGAATGAGCTATAAGGTTGAAATACATGTCTGTTTGATTCTGACTAGTAGGAGGTGTAGACTTACAGCATATGCTATCATGATTTGATGCGGAACCATGGATCTATAGTGCGAAACTAATGTACATATCAGAGCAGGGGGGGAAAAACCTTAATATTGGATTAGTGTACTATAGTACCATACTGTAAAATATAATAATGAGGTTTCAAAGTTGTTGTTATTAATTTTTTGATTTTTGTATATTCTCCAATTCAGTAAAATATCAGTCCAACCTCAAGCCATGGATCGTGGAGACTACTCTGCAGGTAAGTTGTTGTAATATACACACATTAATTAAAATAAACCTATAGGAATCTGTTCAGCACTGACACATCGCTTTTGTACCAACAGGGAGAGTTGCATTTACAGCCAAACTGTGTACAGATCACAGTCGCCCCCAAAATCCAGGACCAATGAAATTCAGCATGGTGAAGCTCAACGAAGGAAAAGGCTTCAACGGAGAGAGCGGGGTCTTCACCTGTCCACTAGATGGCGTCTATTACTTTGTTGTTAACGCGTCAGTCTACGGACGCGGCCACTGCGCTATTTACAAGAATGGAGAGAAAATCGCGTCGCTGTATCACGCGAACTCCGGGGATGACCGGTGCACGCAGGTGGCCTCTATGAGCAGTGTACTGAAGCTGTCCAAGAAAGACGAGGTGTGGATTCAGGTCTTTGGGAGCAGATATGACATACTGGCCACTGAAGATAATGATACTGTCTTTACTGGTTTTCTTCTGGGCTAAAGAAAATAAATAAAAAAAGAACAATCTTAACAAAGGTTCTCATTTTCTGCTGTTCTGCTGGTATTCTTCTGTATTTTGCCACTTTAAACCTTTTTTTTTTTTAGCTATACTGTGTCTAAGTCTAGGCATGTATACAATCGGTGTATCAATAGAAAGTAGGCTATATATAATTATCTTATAGATCAATGATAATTATATGGTTATTCTAATTATTTATCTTTGTGTTCTGAGCATGGATCCATAATAATAACACATAATAATAATTCTGAGCCACATTCGTTTTGTCATTCACTCCTCGTTCTATGGCTGTAGTGATGCTGATTTGCCCATAGGGGGAGCCAAAGTACAAACTCATGGCGTGCATTTCTCACGCATGCGCAGTCGTGTTATTTTCCTATCACAAGAAGCAGCTCACGTTTTCGCACTATATTCTACTTTTTACGTCGTATAAGTATATTTCCAATGGATTTGGAGCCTGGAAACTACGAGCCGGGCTTTGTCGGAATACGCTTTTGTCAAGAATGGTGAGCTGAATATTTAATAATGTCTGTTTTTGTCATGTTAGCTCATGTTTGCTAAAGCTAGTGTAATGGTAAACGTTAATTAATGATGTGTCTATCTAAAAGTGATGAATTTTAAAGCAGCAATTGTGTATTTTCCTCAGTAACAACATGTTGTATCCCAAAGAAGACAAAGAAAACCGTATCCTACTTTATGCAGTAAGTTTCCTTTTTATCCCAGAACGAAATATTTCCTCTCAAGGATAATTCATGCAATATATGTTTACCCCACAGTGTAGAAACTGTGACTACCAGCAAGAGGCAGACAACAGCTGCATATATGTCAACAAGATCACACATGAAGTCGAGTATGTCCAGTGTAACATCAAGTCTCCTCTGTGGTCTCCTTGTCTAAATGGTTCTTTCTGTTTTTTTAAGTGAGTTGACTCAAATTATTGCTGATGTGTCTCAAGACCCCACATTACCAAGGACAGAAGATCACCCCTGTCCAAAGTAAGATTCAGTATCTCACACGCACGTTCAGAGAAGAATGTTTCCTGAATCAATCCTCCTTTTCATTCCAGGTGTGGTCACAAGGAGGCAGTTTTCTTCCAGTCTCACAGTATGAAGGCTGAGGTATAGGATATAACATGACACTATAAAATAACTATACTTTACTCAGTATCTAGTGGATAGAATTGTTTATTATACATATTAACGACATCTGCCGTTGACACCAGTCTATTGTTCTGGACAAAATATTGATCAGTTATTAAATGAAGTTGGAAAAGAACTAGAAATATATATTTTTTTTTAATTGTTTGACTATAATTAATTATCAATGAATGTCAAAAAAACTAAATACATTATAGTTGGCAATATGAACATTGACTCTACAAAGGAAACTAAAATTAACTAAATGGAAATTGATAGGGTGTGCCACACCACATTTTTGGGAGTCCACATTTATGAAGGCCTAAACTGGAAGGTTCACATAAACTACATGAAAACAAAAGTACCAACAATTGTTGGAATATTGTGTAAAATTAAAGCAGTTGTGAATCAAAAGTGACTCCACCTAAATTATTGTGTAGAATTATGGGGGAATAATTATAAAACTGCTATCCGGCCAATTTTTATATTACAAAAGAAAGCAGCCAGAGATGTTAAATATGCAGACTATCATGCTCCGACAAACTCATTGTTTATCAAAATGAATATTTTAAAATTAAATGATCTAGTGGATCTCAACACAGCTGTTGTTGTGTACAAAGTTCACAACTACAAGCTTCCAAATTGTATACAAGAAAGGTTTAAACCCAGAGAGACTTACTGTCATGTTTATCAAAAAAGAAACGTTTGAACAAACATCAAAGATCGATGTGTCTCCATCAGAGGAGTACATCTCTGGAACAGTCTGGATGACTCCAGACTAAACTCTCTTATTATATATTATATATGTTATATATAAAATATCTCTTTTTTTTTTTTTTTTTTTTTTTTTTGAGTGCAACCCTAGGAAATGTGTATGTAACATTTCCTGTGAATATACTTTGTAAGCAAATTAATATCGTCTCATTTTCTCTGTGCTTGGTGCTATCAATCTTTAAATTGTAATGAGTTTGTGTGGGGTTTGGATCCAATAAGTGTCTCTCTTCAGCCAAAACCCTTTCAGTCATTTATTAATGTTTGTTTTGTCTTTGTATTTTTTTTTGACTATTGTAGTCTGAATGAAGAGACTGAAAAAAAATAAACTAACTAACTAGTTTGTTTCATAGTACTGGTTTGTAAATATATTGTTGTATTGAACTAAGATTACATTATTTACCCATATTCTGTTTTTGTGTACAGGATGCCATGCGTCTCTACTACGTTTGCACCGCACCACACTGTGGACACAGATGGACGGAGTGAACATGTTTGATTTTTTCCTTTTTTATACATCATTTGTGATAATAGTTTTATACCAATTCTGCTGTTGTGTTGAATTAAACATTGATAAACTTACACTGTCCTTTTTAAAGCGTTTTTTCAGGTTTCTTGTTTCTCTGAGCCTTTGTTTCTTCCTACCCCGCTAATATCTGTTTACTCAATTATGCAATAGCCTCAGATGTTTTCTTGTCAAACTTCCTCAGTAGACAACCATGTGACCACACTGTTATGAAATTGGGCTCATAGGAATTTTTACTTCACACATGAGGTTTCTGACTTATGCTGAGACAACTGTGCAAGCATTATTTAGTAACTACTGTGATTTTTAAGGGCATGCCCACATACGGCAACAAACAATGTATTTCCCCAAGCCACGCCTAATGTGAAGGTTAAAGCTACTGAAGCAGCTTAGTCAGTCAGTTGTCAGACAGGTTCGCAGCCATGGCAGGTAAGGAAAGGCTAACTTCTATTATCATAATATACTGTATATCTACACATGCTTCATTCACTTGTATTGATTTCAGTCAATGTGGTTTCCCGCGCACAATGGGGAGCCCACACTCCACATCATAAAAACAATTTGACGTCTCCGGCTAAAAGAATCATCATTCACCACACTGCTATGAAAAACTGCCAAACTCAAACTGAGGGCATCATCCAGCTCCGACAGATCCAGAGTGATCATATGAAATTCCGAGATTTTGACGACATAGGATACAAGTGAGTCCACTGATTACATTACAATGGAGTGCAATACTATGGGCATGAACCAGATTTTCGGTCAAGAACATTTAAGGACATTTGAATGGGTAAAAGTTTGGGCAGTATTTTTGCTTTCTCAAGTACTGTATTTATATAGTATGTACCTTCAAAAATGGGTTATTTAGATTATATGCATAAGACACAACATAAGGTAAATGTCACATAGACATTTTTTCAGTTTTAGAGGTTACCAGTGCTTATATATATATATATATATATAATAATCAGAAACAAAACAATTTGTATTGCCATATAAGTAACAAGAAGGACTAGGCAATAATAATCCAAAAAATAGTCAGGGGTTTCTCAACTGATTTAGACTAATTTTGGTGTTCTGAGTCCGAATATCACATGCATTTTGCTCTATCAGGTCATGTTACGGGCCACGGCCCGTACTTCCCTATTGTGGGGATCACTCAAGCCCCTGCGATCCAAGATGGCGCCCTATTCAAATGAATGGTTGGTTGTGCTTGTCACTCCCGTATTCGTCCCGGAAACCGGATTCGTCCGGAAGTTCAGTTTGCGCATGTCAAAAACTTTAATATGTCCTTAAGTGGTGACTGGTTAAGTTTAGGCGTCTGATTAAGATGGTTAAGTTTAGGGTTAAGGCTGGGTTTGGGTTATTTTATGGGAATGGCTGGTTAAGTTTAGGCATGAATAGGTAGTTTTTTATATTTACTGCCGCTTCCGTCCAGATTCCGTGACGTAATCTACTGCTGCGTTTGCTCATTGGATCAAACTGAACTTCCGGACGAATCCGGTTTCCTGGACGAATACGGGAGTGACATGCTCAGTGGCGCTTTGTGACGGCATGGGGGCTGAAAGATTAGCGGAAGTTGCCCGAAACTCGCAATGATCTATGGGAAACTCGCCTGTATTTGGGCATCGTCTGGTCCTCCCGGTTCTGCGCAGTGGATGATCTCCCATAATGCGTTGCGCCAAACACGCGTGTGTGGGTCTCACACCGGGTCTCACGCACGTGCACAGAGGGGCTCGGCTGCGCTCTGACCAATCAGAGCAGTTCATCAGAGCGGGAGTTAGAGCGAGAGCCAGACGAGCAGAGTTTGTGGCACTAAAGTGTGGATTTAAAGAAAACCGAAGGATTTAAGAAGAAAAAAAGTTCAGGATGACAAGGGACACTAAAATCCCCACAAAATCCGACCTTTATGAAAGCTGTAGGTTCTCTGTCAGCTGAGGTTGAGCTATTTTAATATGCATTGAGTTCTATGGGGAAAATTTCTGGGTAGCCCACGTGAATTTAGTCTGGTTCAGTCTGCAGTACCGCGAGAATCCCCTGAGCACGTGGGTTATTCAGCTACAAGCTAGTAATACCCATGGATGTATTATATTAACTGGATAGGGTATTACTAGCTTGTAGCTGAATAACTCATGTGCTCAGGGGATTCTCGCGGTACTGCAGACTGAACCAGACTAAATTCACGTGGGCCACCCAGAAATTTTCCCCATAGAACTCAATGCATATTAAAACAGCTCAACCTCAGCTGACAGAGAACCTACAGCTTTCATAAAGATCGGATTTTGTGGGGATTTTAGTGTCCCTTGTCATCCTGAACTTTTTTTCTTCTTAAATCCTTTGGTTTTGTTTAAATCCACACTTTAGTGCCACAAACTCTGCTCGTCTGGCTCTCGCTCTAACTCCCGCTCTGAGGAACTGCTCTGATTGGTCAGAGCGCGGCCGAGCCCCTCTGTGCACGTGCGTGAGACCTGGTGTGAGACCCACACACGCGTGTTTGGCGCAACGCATTATGGGAGATCATCCACTGCGCAGAACCGGGAGGACCAGACTATGCCCAAATACAGGCGAGTTTCCCATAGATCTTTGCGAGTTTCAGGCAACTTCCGCTAATCTTTCAGCCCCCATGCCGTCACAAAGCGCCACTGAGCACAACCATTCATTTGAATAGGGCGCCATCTTGGATCGCCGGGGCTTGGTAATACCCTATCCAGTTAATATAATAGATCCATGACTCCAGTTCGCCATTAGTTTTGTCTGTGTTCTGTCACTTGTGCCGGTACCTTAGTTCAGTGACTTGTTTAGTTTATGTTGAGACACTTCAGTTTAGGTAACACTTTTGGTTTTGTCAATTGCTTACTTGTTTTAATAGGTTATTTATTTACTGTGTGTTATGTAGATATTAATCCTATTTTGTTTTACCTACTTTGTCACCTAAATAAATTATGATTTTAGTTACCATTCTACCATCTTGGTTATTTTGTTACTTCCTCACACCTAGCTGAGCCGGGTCGTAACAGGTCAACTTTTTGAGATACAGCCATAGTGTTACGGATTATGTACGTCTATGTTATTATGAATTCTGCTTATCAAATTTGATGGAGTAAATAAAAACTGAATGACTTTGGATACGTTGACTTTTATTTCTTGAGGAAAACGGAAAAAAACGTCAAGGGTTTCTCAGCTGATGATCCGCAGAAATTTCTGTAGCAAAAAATCCTGACCTGATTGAGCAACACCAAGGTCATTTTCGGACTCAGAGCATCAAAGTTAGTCTAATTCAGCTGGAAAACCCTGGACTATTTTCAAAAAAAAAATGTGTAACCCAGTGTAATAATCACAGTATTTACTTTTCTCATTGATCATGTCAGTTATTTTAGTCTTTTTTATATTTTTTTATTCAAATTGTAAATGATATGGATGCTACGTTCATCCTACGGAAGGCAGATCCTCTCAACTACAGGGTTCTGTACCGTGTATTTTCTGTTCCTAGCGGTGCACATTTATGGACCGAGATTTCCAAGGTTGTTCCAGGGATAAATACATTGCTTATGTCTTATTACAATGTATGTAAACTTCTGTAATTCTCACTTTAATCATTTATTTTTAGTTTTGTTGTTCGAGGAGATGGATCCGTGTATGAAGGCAGAGGATGGGGTGTAGTGGGAGCTCATACCAAGGGCCACAATGATGATTCATTAGGAATCGCTTTTATGGGGAATTTTAATAGTAAGTATGTACCTGTATAATGTTTGTTTTGATAAAGAAAAATAGAATAACATGTAAACTATAACATTTTCCATTCAGATGAAAGCCCAAGTTCAGAGGCACTAACATCAGTCAAACGGCTCCTTGTGATTGGAGTCTCCCAGGGTTTTATTCTCCCTGAGTTTGGGCTGTTTGGGCACAAAGACCTGGGAATTACAGCCTGTCCTGGAGTCCAACTCTACTCAGCTTTGCCACAACTGAGATCAACTAACTGACCAATTTCTATTAAGTGCATAAGTCAATAATACACTACATAATAGCACAACACATAAAAAAATTCTAGATTGACAGTGAAAAAAATGTATATGTATGATTCAGGGTTAAGTTATAAGGTAACAGGAACAAATGTGTGGGTAATCAGTAAGCTTGTTGATTATTATTATTGATTATTCATTATGACTGAATTCTTTATCATTGCTACAACTTTATGGTTCACCAGGGGGTGCTACAACATGGAGGTTTTCAGGGAGTATTTCTTTAACTGGACTGCATTCTCAAGACATGTTTGTTGGTATTTATATTCATGCAATTAGAAGAAGTCCCTGATTTGAGTCACTGAGACAAAATCAACTACAAATGTCAGTATATGAAATGCTAAATCCCCTTTTAAACTGCAATAGAATTACTTCACTAAATGTATCTAACAGTTTAAATAATGAGGTTTTGAGACCATCCTGCACCGTCTTGTCAGTGAATAGTTAACTTAACTTAAAAACTGCTGGGAACATCATGGGCACAAATTTTCCTCTTGGACCCCAGGAGCACTATGAGCAGGCCATGAGGAGACAGACCGGGAGCATTCTCTCTGATCTACACATGTACTTTTCCCTGAATATGAGCTTTTGAACTCTGAGGAGGTACAGAGTGCCTCGTTGCCGACTCAATCGCTATAAGAACACATTCATACCTGTTTCAGTGAACCTGTGAAATAAGGACATGAGTTAATGATGTGTGTGTGAACTGTAGCACGTGTGTTGGTGTCTTTGTGTGTATGTATTTTTTTTATTGAAATGTTCTATTTCAATTACACAATATTTATACCCATTTTGTCTGTTGGTTTCTTTGATACTTGGATGGCTGCAATAGATAAAACCGTTTTTGATGCATTATAAAGAATAAACATGTTCCAAGATGTTATTTAAGATCACCTGTGTTTGTTTCATAATGGGTAAATGTCAACAAAGAATAGGTTGTGTGCACTAAAATAGGAAACCACTAAAAAATGGTCACGTATTGATTTAATATGTTGTTAATGCTGTTTGTTATTATAGAATCATATTTCCAGATAAAATCTCCTTGATGTACATTACAGAACAAACATACTCTTTTGTACCATGCGTTGCCTGATGATGGGTGAGAGAGTCAAACAGACTGAGAGCCCAATCAGAGGACAAGGCGTGTGTTGGAAGGTGTAAACCCTGCACTACGGAGTTCACCTATCAGTCACACTCCTTCAGCGTGCGCACGAGGTAAATATAAAGTTTGTTCAGCTCTTTGAATCTCTCAAGTGTATCTAAAATGAAATAGCCTATTTATTGCTTTTAAAAAAATGTTACTTAAACCAATACATTTGTTCATTACTTTCCACAGGTTTCATCTTCACTGCGCCTTTACGCACCGCTGTGGACATACACGCTCCAAGTTATGCGATCTTATTAGATAATCCAAAACAAGTTTACAATTATGGAAGATTGTAAAAATCTAGATGGATATTTCCACAAGCCATCTTTTAGCATTAGCAATCTTTTATGGAGTCAGGAACATCTCGTGGCTGAGCAGGATGGTTCTCCGTCTCCAAAAGCGCTCTCTTTACGCATAGAGCCAAGCTTGGAAAAAAACGTTGGCAGCGAGTTTTTGAAAACAAAAACAATGTCCAGAAGCGCCAAACTATCTGAGAATGAATCAAATAAAGTCATTGCCGAACCTGCCGAATGTACAAAACCTGAGAAACCACCATTTAGTTATAACGCACTCATAATGATGGCAATACGGCAAAGCCCAGGAAGAAGACTCACTCTGAATGGTATCTACGAATTCATTATGGATAATTTCCCCTACTACCGGCAAAACAGACAGGGCTGGCAAAACTCCATCAGGCACAACCTCAGTCTGAACAAATGCTTTGTGAAGGTTCCACGGCACTACGACGACCCAGGCAAAGGAAACTACTGGATGTTGGATCCATGCAGCGAGGACGTGTTCATTGGAGGTACATCTGGGAAACTGAGACGCAGGACCTCCGTAGGGTCCAGGGCAAAACTTTCTTTAAAAAAGGTGTGTGGCCTGCAGACCACCAACACAGCCGCTGTGACGTTAGCCGCAGCGGGATCTTTCTACTGGCCCGTGCCGCCGTTCTTACCACTTCAGTCACCAGTGCGTACGCACTTTGGCACAGGGACTTATCTAGGCGCGCACCCCAGCTTTCCCAACCACGCTGCATCTGTTGTATCACAACGATCAAGTCTAAGTGCAACAAATATCATGGAAACCGATCGCTTCATGCAGACGCATCAGGAGATGTCCTATATTGGAGTAAGTTGCGCTCCTGCCCGTCGCCATCAAATCGGCGGCTCGTGCGCAACTTTCTCCATGCCTGGGTGCGCCATCCCACTGCCACAGCCCTGCTCCTTTAACATGATCACCGGACAGGCTAGTTACTTTTACTCACACCAAATACCGCAAGCTTCAGGAACGGCCCAGGAGGGGTGCACCTCATCCAAAACTTCTTCTGGACACTTTCTCACAAAACGTCTCTCAGAGCTCGGAGCATGCTGCAACGACTTCCCTAATTATTGCCCACAGGTTTGCCCATAATCATGGAATCTGGAAAAATAGTATTTACTTTTAGTAATTTATTCATTAATATAATGTTGTGATTAGTGTGATTTTCTTGGACATACTAGCTGTTCTAAATAAAAAAGGCAAACAAAGACAAACTCGGATATTCACCTTGACTTTAATTTAATTTTGTGCCCTATAGCTTTATAACAACAGCATCTTGATTTCCTGCATGGAAATGTGTCATTGTCGTAAATGTGTTAATAAGCAGCATGTCTAGTATATTTGTATGTATAACATTGAAGTTATGTAAACGTGAAGCGAATAAGTCAAAGTAAACAATAGAAACAAGAAACGTATACAGTGTTTTTTGTGATTCATATTAATGCCATACCTGAATGATTACTATTGTGTAATTAAAAACAGAATGGTTGCTGCATTTTTAATTGTGTTTTCCTTGAGCCCGTCTTTAGTTAATTGTTTTAATTTGTTTGCTTGCACTGTACAGTTAACTTCTTTGTAAAGGACACAGAAAGATCTTTGTGCCTGTATAAACAATTATATGATATTGTTATAATGCATTTGATAAACTATAGTGTATATAATGCATTATAACAATATTAGATTGTTATATTGTATAATATTGTTATAATGCATTATATACACTATAATGCATTATAACAATATTATAAAATTGTTTATACATCTATAAGCAAAACATGAGAAGGGAGAATAACATGCAGGTCCGAAGGCTATATAGGCTATAGTAACATCTGTCATTTTAATAATCAATAAAAGAAAAACGATACGCCTGCAATATGAAACAATAGAAATTAAAGTATTTTTTAATGTTCTGAACAGAAGTAGAAGATACGGATGTGATATGTTAATTACTTTTAAGTTTGTGTCAAAACTGCTGAACAACACTGTAAACTCTATCTCACCTTTTGGCCCCTGCTCGAAGAATCTTCATTTGATGGGTTTGGATATTTATTATGAGCAGTTCCCTGGACTTGAGCCACTTTAAAAACAAAAGGCTCATTGTGCAGTCCGTCACCTCTCTGGTCTCAGTCACACATGCAGTCGCCTGTGGTTAAATCAGACTATGGGCTGGATCAGGTAACTTACACGGCTTTTGGCAAACTCACTGTCTAGATAAGAGGATAATCATACTATTTCATACAAATGCTGGTAAGAGAGTTGCAGCGACATGTCTGCTGAAAACTCATTTTACCCTGAGGATAGTTAAGATGGTAAGAAGATAATGTTAGCACACTAACACAAGCAAACAAGTGCACATTACTCCGACAGATCTAGCTGATTTTGGTTCAATGTTTGTAGCAGACATATATCAAATGCGTTTATGAAATGAAACAATTGAATGGCTCAAGCATATCAATTCTTAAGATTGGCATGTTCAGAATGAAAAAAAGTATTCACAAGGCCAGTTGTTATTATTGCTTCGAGGCTACATCTGTGAATCACTTGATTACGCATTGGGCCACCCAAATCTTATTAAAGACATCCACTTTGTACCTCAGATAGACGGTATCTAAAGCTTGGGAAATCAAAACCTTACACTTGCACACAGACCTCTATTATCCACAGGTGGATGTGCCACCCTTTGAAACTGTGAGTGTGTACACTCCAAGGCGTCTGTCTGTCTCTGACCAGAAAACCAATCTGTCTGACCGCTGCTGCTGCATCCATTATGATTCTTCCTCTTGTTCTAAATGAAAAAAATAAAGTTTGATTTTTTAAAACATGAACATATAACACACATCAACATAGCTATTATCGTCTTGAATAAAGGTTTTGACACACAGTCAATTATATAAGCAAAGTTTGGGGCTAATTTAAAAAAAAACAAATAAATAACATTATACCAGCTACGTGAACCCGGAAGTACTCTGTATGCAACTTACCGGAAGTAGTTATTCAACACGAGCCGCTCGAATTCGTCGTTGTTACGGAGAGGATTCATTTCCGAGTAATTTAAACTGTGACTGTTGGAGGCGATACAATGTAAGTACATGTTTGATGTACGAGTTATACACATGCAAGTTAATATTAATTTTATAAAGCGGTAACTACTGAACGAGGCGTGTTCTTCTCGTTCTCTGAATGAATAGAACATGCCTCCACGCCGCTGCGGGTCCGCCGCATTTATTCTAGAGCAAGCTTAAAGCTTACTTTATATGTATATATGTGTATTGTCTCATCCACTGCAGACATTCAACACTGCTGATTGTTACAGACATGTTATCGCCGATGAAGATACGCGGGACGTTTTCATCAACACATTGATACACTTTACCAATCCCAGCTAGCTCAATGCTATAGTTAGCCTAAGCTATTTCATGGAAACGTTTGTGTCTAGCTGTGAGTTTATGTTGTTGTCTACGAATATTGCTTGTTTCACATGATTTGACTCAAGCGTGTTTTCTCCTCATGGATATTTTAAATATAATTACACGGAGCAGTAATGTGAGCGAGGTTGCATCTCCACAGACCTGACTAGTGCTTCTCCTGAGGAGCCTCACATGTTTCCATAGACTGTTTTCCAAGTATCGGCGTTTCTGAACGTTGTCGTGAAATCACGTGATCGTTGATAGATGGTTGATACATGGTATTACCATACCTGTAATATGTCAGTAGCAAAAAACGATTAAAGTTATTCGTATTTAACCTATTTATCCTCTACAATATATTGTTATATATAATATAATGCATTTGATAAACTATAGTGTATATAATGCATTATAACAATATTATATTGTTATATTGTATAATATTGTTATAATGCATTATATACACTATAATGCATTATAACAATATTATAAAATTGTTGTCAGATGTCATGCCAAACATAATAGATATTATATTAATCAGAGATATGATTCTCATTCATCATGTATTTTGAGTATTATTCAATGCTGAATATACAATCATTATTTTATTAGGGCAATGTATTCCGAGGCAATTTAGGTCAGGTGCAACCATTAATCAGTGGTTAATGGTTGCAAGGAAGCAGATTACAATTTCATAGCTTCTATTTTCGTTATGACCTAAAAACTGACCCAAACTCAAGCACCTGTATACTTGAGTAACACTAAATTGTTTTTGATGTGCCACACAGCATTGAAGAATTCGCAGATTTAGGCACTAAATGTATTTTCATAGTTGAAGCTATCAATTTTTCACATTTGCTATGTAAAGAGCTCCTTTTTATTTGCTAGTTAACTCAAATTCTAGACAATGTATCATCAAATGTGCCCATTTAATGTGTTTTTCTTTCATTACAACCATAATGAAAGATTATTTTGACTTGCCTGGAAATACATATTGTTTTGTGTCCCTTGAAGGAGTCTTTTGACTAAGCCTAAATCAGAGATGAGTGCAGATGAGTTGCAGAAACGGGAGGAAGAGGAGTTCAATACAGGCCCACTGTCTGTGCTCACGCAGTCTGTCAAAAACAACACTCAGGTCCTGATCAACTGTCGCAACAACAAAAAGCTTCTGGGACGAGTCAAGGCTTTTGACAGGTAACACCACGTCTGCAATACTTTCATAGTTATCAGAGGTGGGTATGTTGAACGCTCTGGGAATTAAGTAAATAATACAGTTTTTTAACATGTTTATCACCAAAACTCCATGAACACTAAGCTGCACTGCTGCTGCTACTCCAGGCTGATGCCAACTGCTGCTGCTGTAGCCTGCTGTTTTCTTTCTTTGTTTCCACACTGGTGTGTGAGCTTTGTGTTTGGCAATAGTCTAAGTTTCATTTGACATTTTCATCACATATTGTGTAATTTAGTGCTGTATATCAGATTCTCATTATGTATTATAAATATTTGATGTATTCTAATTGTTATAACAAACCGCATTTTTACATCAATTGAGCTTTATGTCCAATTTTTGTCTTTCCACATTGTTATTGTAATTTTGTTTTGTTTTTTCTTAATGTTGCAGACATTGCAACATGGTTTTGGAAAACGTTAAGGAGATGTGGACTGAAGTTCCAAAAAGTGGAAAGGGAAAGAAGAAGTCGAAGCCTGTGAATAAGGATCGTTACATCTCTAAAATGTTCCTAAGAGGAGACTCTGTCATCGTCGTCCTGAGAAATCCACTCATTACTGGAAAATGAACATTTACCTCTGATTGAACCGCTCTGAAAGCCTTTTTATTTTTATTTTTTTTCCAGAGTTACTTTGTGGCAGTCATGAAGTGTGATTGTTCAAGATTTTTTGTGTTGATGTCTTGGGAACAGCAAATGAAAACATCTGGTCTTGATTTGAAAATGTCTTTTTCATTTTTAGATAATAAAATAGAAGGAAAAAAAACTTTTATATTCTGGCTATTTTTGTTTCATGTTATTTAATTTTAACATGAAACAGCAGCCTCTTGTGCTCACAATCACCCTCCTCCGTACCCTTGCCGCTCTCTCCCGGTGGTGTCTTGGGTGTCAGGCTTGATTTCAGCCAGCAGCGCTCAATAGGTGACAAACTGCCGTTTAAAGGCCTGCTGCATTATAGATGAGACCAGATGTGCTGACTGTTACTTCACACCCTTGCATGCTCCATTTGGGGCTGCTCACCTCTTTTGGGAGGCCCCTCCTGACCACTTTGTTAATTGTCCTAATAGCCATCAGCCAGGCTCAATTTACCCAACTTATGGCAGGCATCTAACCATTTCCAAACCTACACATCCAAAAGTTCTTTGATTGTGGAGTTTGTGAATAATCATATTTGCTATAATACTGGATGAGTTGCTCAAGTTCTTGACATTGTTAACAAAAGCTTGGATAGGTGATTGGTCACTAGGAGATTTTTATTTTTTTGGTGAAATTTGAATGCAGTCTTCTGTTTTGATTTGGGAATATTATATACCACTAAAGTGCATTGTGCGCCTATACCCAAAGATTAGAATAACTGAATTGGTCAGAAAAGTCAAGTAAACTTTGCACCCAATTTAGTCTTGAGTTCTGTTCTGTCACTTAATATGTCAAAGAAACTCGAGGAAAGCCAAGTCCCTCAAGAGTTTGGGACCAGATTCAGGAGCAGGAAGCCAGATGTTTTATTCAGCAGCCGAACGATAAGCGGGGGAAGTGTGATTATGATAGCGATCGGCGAAGCTTCGACACTCGAGGCCCAGAGCAACACGACACCGCAACGGCCGCGCATCGATCCTGACACCGGAGAATCAGCAGTTTGTTTTCACCAGGACCAAGAGAAGCGCGGCCCGGGCAGGTACCAAGCACACAGCAGCCTTAAGAGACTGTCACAACACACGGATCACTTGTGGCTCGACTATTTTCAAACAAGCACCCAATGTTCACATGCTGGCCATTATAGGGCTCAGAAAGGTCGATGATAAGCGGATTACTAATCAGAATCAAAAGTATTATGTATTGTCCATAGACTGTAGACTTTGTTAAACATAAAGTCACAAACTAGGAATTTGCTTTGTACAATATGCCAAACAGTTATACGGATATAAAGGCATGCGTCAAATGTCGTTATGAATTCCAATATATTGAACGCACACAAGACTTTTAACAGTGCAGATTATCAAAAAGTATTCAGAGGTATGATATTTTAAAGTGACAACATCAATGACAGTGTCTATAACACGATGTCAAATTTGCAGAGATCTGGCAAACAAGGTGAAAAGATGTTGCATCCAAAAAAGAAAAAAAAGCTCAACTGTATTTAGCAGGTTCAAGAAGTCTATGCTGCCATCTTGTGGAATAAAATTGCACTACAGTACAGCTTACGGGTTTGTTGGCAAGGGACTGAAATTCACTTCATTTTGTAGAATAAATGAGTGATACTGAAATGTTTGAAAATAAATTATATACAATAATTTTGGCCTCATTAGTACGACCATATCCAATCCAGATATTAAAGAGATATTCACACTCAGTTTTACAATTATACAATAGGCAACAATTAAACATGTTTTCCAATTGACTTTCGTTTACTGTCGTGGGAAATGTGTGGAAACAAAACCTGTAATGTTGTTTGGTTTTTGTGTATATGCACACCAGTGCAATTGATTAAGTTCAATTGATTTCAAGTCGTAAACATTGTAATTTTGTTACAAGTTTGTACGTGCTTTGTAAAAGAGAACAGGAAGCTGCATTAGTTTATAGGCCCTATTCCTAACCCAGAACCAAATAAATCCTGTTGGACCATAGTTTAGTCTCTGACCTGGTTTGAGTGCTGAAGAATGCCTCAGCATTTTTGTGCATACAATATTCCCAAAAGTTCAACTTTCCCTTCTTGGCTTGGCAAGGGGTTCTCAAATATTTTAGTGAGGGACCTCCCAAAAATGCATGTAATCAACCTGACCCCCACTGCTGAAAAAAGAGCAATAATAATAAATTATGCTGCGGTGCTTATTTGAGTCATTGCGTTATTTGACCTAATTTCACTTAAACCATTGTGTTGTGTAAAATGATTGGAAAACATTATGAAAAGCTTAATGTCTTGTACCCCCCACTTTGCATTAGGCTATCCAATAACCCCATAATCTAATATAGTGTCTTTAGCAGCAGGGGTACAATAATACGAGGCTCTTGCAGTTGCCGAGAGCAGTCACCAGCTTGTCTGTCAGTCTACAGTGCTGAGACCAAGGCATATTAGCTTTCTGGATGTTTACACATGCCATGGACGTAATGCATTCCTTTCTCATCCTCTCTTCCACTGCTGGTCCCATTAGGAAGGCAGGACTTGAGTTAGTGTACATTTTCCGACAAGATTTGGATCGAGTGATCACATTTGACAATCTTTCATTCACAATCACTGCACTTCTTGATGACATGTTTTACTGTCAAGTTGTGTCACAAACTCTGAAGAGTGTCCCACAAAACATTTGCAGCTCTTTCACGATTTTAAGGAAATAGTTGCCGACTGAATGCCTTACAAACTGTTTTCCATTGTAAACACTTTTAAAAAACACCCTCGTATAATAGGCTATCATTACCCAAACATATACAAATAAATGATATTTTTAATGTATAAATGTAAATCTAATACCTCAATTTGAATGTTTTTTTGTCTAATTTTAAGGTTTACTGATGTGTTTTGCAAAGCACTTGAGTTGCCATGTGTGTGCATTGTGATATACAAAAATAAACGCAACATTCTGAGACAAGGAAAGTTTATTTAAATATTATTTTAATGAAATGCATTTTTATCCCTTTCCGTAGGGATTAGAAAGGCATCATTAGAACAAACCCAAAGGTTATAGACATTCCTCTTGTCCTGGACTTTGGATCAGAATGTTGTATTCACGTGCAAACTGAATAATGCACACCACCGTCACATTATAGCAAATCCTGTTACTGCCCTGGATGCCTAAAACAGTTGCAAACCCCACACCCAGCTTTTAAACGATTTATTGTACACGCTACAGCCTAGTTTTCAATATTTCTGTGTACATTTATTATAGACCAAGTTAATTCCCCCCGCGCTGTAGTAGTATTCCGTGCCGTACGCGAACGCACCATGGGATTGTAGTCCTCTTTGAAGCTGGCGGGTTGGGCCACAGTCAGCTCCCGTTGCAGAGTGGGCGACGCGGGCGAAAAAGTCTGGCGATCCCACGCACTGAAAACTGTCTATCCTCTGACAACAACGGGAAAAGACTTTTGGGGTTATCGTGGAGGCATGTATCTTTGCGACTGCACTGGCTTTTGTGCATAGAAAGCACCCAAACACGGCGTGGATAGTGACCGGAGTTGACGAGCCCGTTGTACTAACCCATAGACTACTCCCCCCCCCCCTTCCCCGCGTCCCTCCTCCGCCGCCTTCCCAGCCAGCTCCACAACCAGGAAATCGTCGAGGTGTGCTTTTTTAGCCCACTACCGACTGACCCATATGCAGGGTTAGATGTTTATGGAGGCTGGTGGATTCTTCATGGCATTATTTTGAGTTTTAAAGCCGGGATTGCGCTCTGAAGTCGGCCAAAGTTTCACTCACGCACTCGACCTCTCCACTGTGGCCGAAACAATGAGGTGGGTAAAGCGGCTCAAATCCCTTCATCTTCATTGTGTTTCCAGGCTACATTTGCGCTTCGCTGACTATTTCCCTACAAAAGGCAACATGTAACGACTGAGTAGCGCGTAGGTGTGGATCATAGTGGATACGCTTGCCCCACGCCGCGATCGCCGTGCCTACTTTGGACTTGGGAATAAGTTAGTTGACCATGGAGATCCCACAACTTGGGTGACATAATTTTGCAGAGCAGGTTTTATGACCTTTGTGTTTGACTCGGTTATTTTTATTATAACATGAGGTACAATCAAAAGTTATTATCTTTGGTTAGTTTTAGTGGGACTCCAAAAGCCAACAGGGAGTAGGGTCATAATTACTGCATTGAGTTTTTCATAATTTGCCTCATAATTTTCATAGTTGATGGTCCTTGAATGTTGAAGCACATAGTGATAATCAAAGGTTTAGTCTTGGAACCATGCAGTGTGCTTGTATTTATTCTTCAGCTAAATGACGTGTACGCCTACAGATTTGTGTCTTTTATCTAAGGATTCCTAAGTATTATTAATCTTTTTTTGAGTGCCTTCTGTTTGAGTGCTTATCATGCCCACTGCTCAGTATTGTGCATTGCAAGACATGCATTTCCCAATTTTTTTCTACATCATTGCACTGACAAAATGACATTGCTTCAGGAGAATATCAGTAGGCTTGAACCATTTTATATAGTGCCCTACTGTTTGGTGTGATGAGTGGCTAGAGAGTGTAATGGACAAATGAGAACCGTCTACAGAAACATGTTAAAGAATAATACAATAACTTTATTGTGTTATGACAGAAGTTTGTCAATTACACACACCTTCCAATTATAAGTAAAGAAACTACAAATCTCTCCACTATTGAAATAAGATACAGTCCCAGCTCTAATTCATGGAACAATATGTAATTATGGCGACACTGACATGCCCTAGTCATGCATTAAAATGATAGCTGAGGTCTACTTTTGACAATGATCCAATTGTTTGGTAATATGACACATGACAACATGCACACAACCTGCATTTCTTGGCCATGTTCTCACATTGGCGTTGTAGAGATTTACACCAGGAACCAAATAGCTCCATGGAAAGCGCATGTCCACAAATTCCACATCCTGTTCCAGCCTGTGCAGTTGGCAATTACATGGTCTGAAATCAGTGCTTTGGGCATGTGTTTCTCTCTGCTGCTTTGTTCCTCTTCTGCTTGCTGTGTGATCTACATTTGAGTCAAGAACAATATTGTGTTTTCTGTCTTGGTAACCTGTGTAACTAGTTTCTTTATCTCACTGTCCCATGCAGTGTCTGTGCTTTGTTTAGGACTATCTCATCGTTCTAAAGCATTGATTCAATAAGCGCGGGTTGGATATTTAGGACATCCTTTTTGACTGCTAAGACTTTTATATATTCAAAACTCTCTATTCTATTACTTTTGGGATGACCTCCTTTGTGTTTTTTCCATTTGTATGTCAAGCTCTGTCTAGATATTTCTATGGTCACTCTATTGTGGCCAGTTTATGTCACCTTGTGAATAGGTGAAGAATGGAATGCTGTTCATTGTCTCTGTGGAATGTAAATGTTGACGCAGAAGTGCAGCCGATTGGTCAAAAGTTCACCATTTTCACCCAAACAAAGAGAAACTCGCATTTCATTGCCATAATTAAAACGGAATATATACAACATGAGACACCAGGCTAAACGGGCGTATAATGGAACATGTTATTAAGCTTTTGAACCTGGATTGATGGATTTCACTGAAGTTATATCAGTAAGTTGAGCTGCTTTTAGTTCTATGGAGAGATTTGGAACCCATGGCTACATAAATGATGATAAACTAACTGTTGCCAACTTAACACGCTTATCACATTAAACTTTAAAATAACCATTGGGTTGATTGTTTGTTTTAGAGCATTGTAATCTTACACTATTACTGGGCACATGAAGTGTTTTGCTAAGTTTCATCTCATGTAGAATATTTTGAAGTGGAAAAGAGTAAAAGCAAGCTGAAACCTAATTCCTTTCAGTATACCTTCAAAAAAACAAGAGCCTGATCACCAGAAATACACATTTTTTAAAATAAATATGTATGACGTCATAATGTGCTATATATCGCAGTATGACCCAATGTATACGAGTGACTACAGAGGTGCTCCTAAATCATGTCTTCACTATTGTTTCAGACACAGGAAGTGCGCCACCTGCATGATGAGTCAGGGTTATTGTTAGAGCAGTGACCGTCTTCTGCTATGATTCAGTGACGAGGTTGTGTGACTAAAGGACTTGTGTGAGTGTGCGCTGTGTGGCCCCTGGCTTCTCTCTGAAGTGTGTTGAGAGTACTGGGGCAGACAGGTGTAATGTTCTGTGTAACGCACTGTCTATGTCTAATGACTTTCCTGTTCATTTCACTACGTGTCTGCAAGCGGTGCCAAATCGGGCCTTCTGATCCCGCAGCACAATCCTACACGCTTTGTCGACTTGAAACACGCTTTATTGATCAGCCTTAAGAACAAGGAAATGGCTTTCTTCTATTTAGTCCTCGTTGTGTCCCGGCATCCGGAAGAAACTGTGGTTTTACAAGTGATGTTAACATTGTTATCTCCACTAAGTGTTTGGCATAATTTTGTCCAGCAGCACAACTGAAGTTATTTTTCATGCTTAATGCCACATTGTGTCGAGTGAGTATGAAACCTTTTAGCTAAATGCAACTGTTCACAAAAGAAGTCTTTACAGTGCGAGCTTCAAGCCTCTTATGTTGCAGTTCTTGTTTCAAGAACTAGAGCTGCACTGAAGATGAAAATAAGATTACAACACAAAACTTGTGGGCTGTAGGTATTGATGCCTCAATCTAACCATTCACTCGGCGCCTACAGGCTGGGCCGGTAAAAAATACATCACGATTATTTGTTTTCTCATAGCTTTTCTTAGTACACAACAGCTCTGTTTCTGGCTCAGTTTTTTTCCCATAACGGTGAGTTTAGAAGAATAAGCAACAAGTTGTCTGTTTCAGCCCCACAATTGAGATAATAATAAATGAGATTAAAAAAATAAAAAACATTGATAGATAGGTAAATAATTCTTTTTTTAGTGCAGCCCTTGCCTCAGTGAACTTAGACTTTGTTGTTCCAAGTTATACACATTCAACTAAGATATTGAACTAATAGTATATTATGTGACCCATTGCCACATTGCATGCTAGACATGTGCCAATGAATCTTTGTTGTGCTGATAGCCATGCACAACACAAAGTATTCAGGCCTTCCGAGTCTGGTTTAGAGGTGAACAGTTATGAAATGGAGATGATGTAGATATCTATGGTAGTTCTTTGACAATAAGCCAACAAGTTGACAAGAATGTTGATTCAAATTTGAAGAAATTGTCAATAATTTGACTGCAGTTGAAGTAAACTAGTACCATTCCACAGCAACCGTTGCAATATAACAACATAGTCCCTTGTCTCCACACAGATACATGTCAACGTGTGACTGCAGACTGGTGCACTGCAGCCCATCAGCCTCACACTTTACTAAAACACTCTTTAATTGTAAAGTTTGAGGCCCCCTCCGCTCTAACCATTTGGGCCATTTGGTTCTTCCACTTCTTTATAAATGGGCCTTTATACTATGTGGATTAGCAGTGTGTTGGCTTCGTTACAAGACCTTCTTGTGTGCATTTGGTAATAAACCCATTCTTTACAACGGGTCAAACTTCCAATGTTTCTTACTTACAGTGCCTTGCGAAAGTATTCGGCCCCTTGAACCTTTCAACATTTCGGCACATTTCAGGCTTCAAACAAAGATATACAAATGTTTTTGTCAAGAATCAACAAGTGGGACACAATCGTGAAGTGGAACAAAATGTATTGAATAATTTAAACTTTTTTAACAAATAAAAAACTGAAAAGTGGGGCGTGCAATATTATTCGGCCCCCTTGCGCTAATACTTTGTAGCGCCACCTTTTGCTGCAATTACAGCTGCAAGTCGCTTGGGGTATGTCTCTATCAGTTTTGCACATCGAGACTGAAATTCTTGCCCATTTTTCCTTGCAAAACAGCTCGAGTTCAGTGAGGTTGGATGGAGAGCGTTTGTGAACAGCAGTCTTCAGCTCTTTCCACAGATTCTCGATTGGATTCAGGTCTGGACTTTGACTTGGCCTTTCTAACACCTGGATACGTCTATTTGTGAACCATTCCATTGTAGATTTGGCTTTATGTTTTGGATCATTGTCCTGTTGGAAGATAAATCTCCGTCCCAGTCTCAGGTCTTTTGCAGACTCCAACAGGTTTTCTTCCAGAATGGTCCTGTATTTGGCTCCATCCATCTTCCCATCAATTTTAGCCATCTTCCCTGTCCCTGCTGAAGAAAAGCAGGCCCAAACCATGATGCTGCCACCACCATGTTTGACAGTGGGGATGGTGTGTTCAGGGTTGATGAGCTGTGTTGCTTTTACGCCAAACATATCGTTTTGCATTGTGGCCAAAAAGTTAGATTTTGGTTTGATCTGACCAGAGCACCTTCTTCCACATGATTGCTGTGTCTCCCAGGTGGCATGTGGCAAACTTTAAACAAGACTTTTTATGGATATCTTTGAGAAATGGCTTTCTTCTTGCCACTCTTCCATAAAGGCCAGATTTGTGCAGTGCACAACTGATTGTTGTCCTATGGACAGACCCTCCCACCTCAGCTGTAGTTATCTGCAGTTCATCCAGAGTGATCATGGGCCTCTTGGCTGCATCTCTGATCAGTCTTCTCCTTGTTTGAGATGAAAGTTTGGAGGGACGGCCGGGTCTTGGTAGGTTTGCAGTGGTCTGATACTCCTTCCATTTCAATATACTTGCTTGCACAGTGCTCCTTGAGATGTTTAAAGCTTGGGAAATATTTTTGTATCCAAATCCGGCTTTAAACTTCTCCACAACAGTATCTCGGACCGGCCTGGTGTGTTCCTTTGTCTTCATGGTTCTCTCTGCGCTTTAAACAGAACCCTGAGACTATCA